GCGCAGCAGCAACCTAAGCAGTAGAAGTACTCCGTACTGTACTCCGTAGTTGAGATGAAATGCAATGCAGATGATGAACTTCTTTCCCCCACACACCAAAAAAACTACTTGCTATTTTTCTCTTTTCTTCTTCCACCCTCCCCCTCTTCTCCTTCCTATAACCCCGTCTTCTCTTTCCAGTCCCACCGGCTTGCTATCTTTTTCTCTTCTTGTAGAAGCCATCTCTTTTAAACACGCCCATACTCCTGTTTGCCTTGACGCCCCCCTCAGCTCTATAAGCTGGAACCGCTGGGGTGGACGAATGAGAGTCGCTCCACGATCGTCGCAAACATCCAACAATCGCCTACAACGCGGTCTGATTTGATCCCTCAACTGGGGTCGACGTGTTTAAGATCTGTCTCACTTCGAGTTATTCCCTGTCACTTCCTGCCGACGGGGCGCATACGCATTTATCGGGGTCTGGAACGCTTCGCTGACGGACCATTCCTCGCATCTACATCCATCTAGATATCCATTTCTACTTACTCTACTATCCTGTCAACCTCAGAGCTACAAAACCAGTCTCGATCTTCAGCAACTTGCTGAGCATATCTCTACCCAGAAAATAGCCAAACCTTGATCTTAGAAGCAGTGCAGTCTATCGATCCTCTACACATTCTGTGCTACATTCTCGAGTTTCCCCTCCGCCCGCCGCGTCGCCTGACTGGCTCTTGTGGCCCTCCCTTGATATGCCTCCATTGTTGCCCCCTCCCACCAAATTATCTCATTCTCGAGCCTGCTAGTTGTCTCATTTTCGGCCCCGGCTTTTCCATTGCATTGCTAAAGGGTATAGTTAGTGAATAAGAGGGCTGGCTTATCATCTACTGCTCTCAGTTTCGCATCAGTGCTCTTGTGGTCGCGTTGATTTACTTCCAACATGCCACTGTATGGCTCGTCCAGTCGCTCGAAGAAGCCAAGGAAAGATGGTAGCAGTAAATCATCCACGGCTTCTGTTTTTTCGGCTACTTCTCGTGTCACAAAGGCTTCTAGAGCGTCTGGGGATCGGCCGCAAATAGCATCTCAAGATCCATCTTTGGTCTCGAAGAACACCGCTCCGAGCCCGGCAAACGTCTCGCGGACGCATACTTCTGCCAAGTCCGCCGAACCTGAGCGGACCGTTCCGAATGTTTTTGAATATCTGGACGAAGATGAGTCCACGTCAGAAGAGGATTCCTCCGAGGATGACGACTTCAGATCGCGTCGAGTGTCATACCTATCATCGTCTAGCGCCCAATCGAAGACGGCGTACGTAGGGTTAGGTCGTCAGAGCAAATTGGCCGCACTTGGTGCGGATACACGCAGTCGAACATCGTCCACCATGTCCAAGGGTTCAATTGACTCCCAACCATTGCCGACTGCCTTTGACATCGCTTCTGGTGTGCCATCATTACACAAGATGAAAAGCAAAACATCTTCTCAGAACAAGAAGCCCAACGACATCCCCGCCGGCATATCTGCAGGCTCGAGCTCGCCTGAGAAACGGAGCTTAGAGCTCAGTCCCCGACCCGATGCCTTCTATTCGCATCATTCAGCCAGCCAACACCGGCCGCCTCTGCCACCATCACCGCCACGAAGCCCGGAGGAAGATTCTCAACGACCTAATCACAAACGCAGCCGTAGCACGAAAACATCACCACCTCCCTCGGGCTACGGCCTCCTCGCCTGGCGTCTGAGCGCATCCACCGACAACCGGGAGCCTCGTCTCCCACCGCTCTATCGCCGATTTGAAGATCTAAACCATCGTGTGCTTCTGCATCTCCAGGACGAGATTGCACAGATGGAGGAAGACCTTCGTGTCCTAGATGAGTACGATCAAATGCATCGGGCGGCTACGGCCGAACAACAGGGTACCACGGTTCTCCCAGCTTCGCGACGCATGGACGTCCAGGCACAGGTTTACTCTTCCCTGCATTATCGCAAGGAAGAGCTGCTGGGCGCACTGGCCCAAAAAACCGAACAATATAGTAAGTCACAACAGACAACATTATCGTTTCCACCTCAAGAGACACTAATCGTATTCCACAGACAATGCGCTCAGTGCATACAGCCGCGTTCTGCAGACTCTTCCGCCTGCTTCAAACAAGGATATCGAAACCTACCGCACCTGGATGAACGAACGTAACCCCATTATTGCTGCAGAGACGCGCTTTCTTGACCACACTAAGGATCTGGTTTCTCTTGCCCCTCGCACGATCTCAGCTTCCTCCGCACGATCCGTGTACGCTGCAATTATCATCGCCTCTGCAGCCGTCATCCTCCCTCTACTCACTTTCAGCATGATTGCTGAATTTTCCGGTCGTCTGCTGGTGGTTGCCGTTGTAGGCGGCGCCGCTGCTGCCGTTGCCTCCACTCAATCCACGGGAGCAGACCAGCTTGTCGGCTCCCAGGATGGATGGCGATCCGCTTCATTGTATGTTTTTTATACATTGCGTGTTGTTTCGCTTTCGCTGGTGATATCATCGTACTAACTTATAACCTTAGATACTTTGGTTTCATGGCTACAGCAGCTCTATTTATTCCATAGTTTCAACAGATACAGACTTCTGGGTGTAATATCCACCAGCTTTTACCATCTTCTCATGATTTTACGAATTTTCTTGAGGCAGCGTGCTACTGACATCTTGGATTAATTCTGCTCGCAAGTATATTTTTCTTGCTTGGATTGGCACAAATTGCATGGATGTTGCTATTGATGCTTGATGATACATTCAAAACTCACTTTTGAAAGACCTCTTCCCCCGTGTTAAGCTTGCCACCACAAATCATGGTGAGGGTGTTCCCCCGGTCTTCTGTGTCCCTGATTCAATGTTCCCTTTTTTGGCTTTAGCGACTGGACTAGATGCTTTGTACGCACCGTGAATGATTGAGATGATGTATACTTAATTTTCTCCAACTGGAAGGCAATCTGCTCTTGTAAAAGGTTGTTGAGTAGTGGTGGTCAGTACATCTATACACTAATCGCATGTCAAAGTTCACCGGATCCCTGCAAGAAAGTTGTTGTATGTCATATGGGTAAAGGCTGGGGCAAGCAGACGATTCACAATTGTCATGTGTCTGCACAGAGTGAATTATACCGATTTGACTGACAGCACAGACTCAGGGTTCTAAAATAGCTTCACAACTTACCTGCCTGATTTCTCTAACACCCAGACGACCAACCATCACCTACCTCTCTGTTCTCTTCCAGTTGTTCATAATTCGTTGACCCCAACGTATTACTACTGCAACTACTTATTATCGGTGGATACCCAATTCTGTGTTACACCCTTCAGGTCTGTTCGTCTCATCACAGCCTACAACGTCCACTCAAGCTCCCAATACATCAGATCCCCCAACTCTCAATAGCTCCTCTGCACCACCAAAATTTCAAAGACCATGACCCGCACAAAAACAAAGAACAAAATGCAGAACAACGTGGAGGCCTGCTCCAAATTCAAGCCCAAGCCCAAGCCCAAGCTCCACAATGACGCTCAGGGTAACAACGGGTTTGCGTTGGGGAAGCGTCGCCTTCGAGATGCTCCAAGTGACGATGACGATGACGAGGAGATAACCAGCCTTGCCTCGAAGAATAAACAGAAGCGTGTGAGACTTCTCGAGAAGAAGAAGAACCTCCCCGTAGCGATCGTCGTCTCTGCCCCCGAACTCCAAATCCGCGTGGCCTTCACCTTCGCCGAGTTGTGTGCTGCTACCGACGATACTCCAAACGATGCCGACCACGCGCAATTCGACAGGTTCATGGCCAAAGTGCATGACACGGTCGAGGGCTTCACAGAGGAGGACTACATCATCTACTGGGAGTACGGGAACGTGCAGACCAAGTACAAGGTGACGAACCCCAGCTCGTGGCGTGCCGCTATGCTGGAGATGCGGGGCGGTGGCAGTTTTACCGTTGAGATGAAGCCGAAGCAGGAGGCAAGTATGTTATTGGATTCTTTAATATCTCTTTCTCTCTCCCTCCCTCTCTCTGGGAGTAAAATGGTATGAGAACTATCTGGCTGACGTGACTTCCAGGAGACGCGCCGTTTCTAGCTCACCGGCAGGCAAAGACAGAAGACGATAGTATTGTCTATCGCTTGATGATTCGCAGTGATGAACAGTCTCCTTATAAGAACATTCAGTGTGGGGATTCTGGGGCAGCTCTACTTCCACTGGCGAAGAGAGATCGTGTCGCCGCACGGATTCCTGACGGGTATTGCTCTGATGATTCGCTCGGTTCAAGCTCCCCGGTTATTCGCACCACCAACAATGGACAGATGATCAATTCGGATAGGTCTACAGCCTTTGCAAACAGGGAGGTATAACTCTGGATGCAGTGGTGCCAAGATGGAATTTTGTATCTGGTCTGGGACATGGATGATGGTACGTGGGAAGATTAGGAGAGAGAGCTACAGTGTATTCGCTGTTGGATGTTTGTCTTTTTTTCTTTCGTCTCGAGGACAGATGGGTCTTTTGATTTTTAAGGGACCTCTCAATTCATTTCGTGACAGTCGATAAAAGAAAGACTTCTACTGATTTGTGAGTGCTCTTGAGTGATAGTAAAATGCTCACGTGTTATGTTGTATCGCGGTAGGCCCAGCTCGATCTGGATTAACTTTATCTTCTCCATCTTCAGCTTCTCCATCTTCCTCAACTGCACCATTTCATTTGAAGATAAGACAACGTATGAGGTCTACCAGCCTTACTGTTCCTTCAGCTCTTCCACATGGGAAGTCACAATGTGATCGTCGAACGTTGCACTGCAATTGGTCCATGTCCACAGTGCTAAAGATAGCGCATCCTTTAGGCAGAGTAACCGGAGTCTAGTCATGACCGGCGCTGTCAACTTAGCGAGGCTGCAGCTGCTCGAATATATTAATCGTCTATTTCTAATTCTCGGAATCTCCCCCTTCACAGACTTCTCTTTCGCTCTCCGACCCTTAGAGTCGAAAATGCCCGCCATATCGAACTCAACATATGGAGCCCCTACCACCGTCCGACGGCGCATAGCCCAAACCAAGAGATCTCGAGCAGGCTGTCGCACTTGCCGGTAAGCTCGAACATGCCGGCCACAACCCCGTCCAATCGTACGCTAAAGATCATCACACTCGGTCCGTCAGTCTCCGCAAAGTCAAATGTGACGAAGCTCCTGGGGCTTGTCAACGATGCGTGTCGACCGGCCGAGTCTGCGATGGCTATGATATGCACCGGTTGCCTGCGGCCACGGGCAGCAAGACCATTGGTGCTGTAGAGCCGCGCCTCCCAGCCTCGATCTCCAGTAACCTATTCAGAGCAATGACATCGGACGAGCGAAGGTGCTTCTCCTACTTCCAGAACCGCGAGATCCCCGCAAATCTGATGTTTTTCGATTCGGCCCTATGGAAGCGGCTCGTGCTGCAGATGGCCCAGGCGGAACCCGCCGTATATCATGCCATGATCGCTTTGAGTGCCGTGCACATGGATACGGAGATCAAGGATGTCTTAGTGTTACACCCCGAGGTACCGCCGGACAGTGTCTTCCACCTCTTTGCCCTCGAGCAACTGGGGCGCTCCTACGCCCTGCTACAACAGCGCTGTAGCTCCCAGGACCCGCAGATCCTCCAGATCACTTTAGTGACTTGCCTGCTATACACCCTGTTCGACATGATCCAGGGCCAGTACGAAACGGCATACACGCATATGCAGAACGGCGTGCGGATCCTCAAGGATGTTGGGCCGTTCAAGCGCCAGCAGGACCCCTACACGGCGAATGACCTCCCGGTCGACGGATGCCTGGTCGCGGGCTTTTCCTTCCTCGACATCGGCTTCATCCACTTCGACTTCGACGGACCGCCCCGCGTGCACCTCAACGAGGGTCAAGACTTCGAGCGGACCATCCTCGCCCGACAGGGGTATATCAGCAGCCTGCAGGAAGGACGACAGGCGTACAACATCATCGCCAGCGCGCTCTCCCAGTTCCTCCCACAAGCCTGGCATCTCTCGGACGCCGACATCGCCGCCCAGTACCAGCGGCTCCAGCCGCAGCAGATCCTCCTCCTCTCGCAGACCGGCCGCATGCTCCGGGTCTTCGAGGCCTACGCCGCGCGATCGGCCGGCCGTCTGCCCGCGCCCGAGCAACAGAGCCTGGACATGCTCATCTACCACATCCACGCCTTCCTCCTGGGCCTCAGGATCTGCCTCTTGGGCAGCAACCGCGCCGCCCGCGCCGCCTACACGGCAGACTTTGCCGCCTTGCTCGCCGAAACCGAAGCCCTCATGGCCCGCGTCCCCGACCAGCCCAGCGTCACCCTGGACCTCGGCGTCCTCCCGCCCCTCCACCTCATCTCCACCTTCTGCCCTGACTACCGCCTGCGCCTGCAGGCCTTCCGCCTTCTGCAGACCTGGCCGCACCGCGAGGGCCCCTTCGATTCCGACCTGACCGCCGGCCTGGCCATGGAGCGCATGCGCAAGGAGTTGACGCTCATGCGCGCGACCGACTACGCCCACTCGGGCTATTACTACTACAACGACAGCAGCAGCAGCAGCAGCAGAAGCAGCAACTACGACGGTGACTCCAGCGATATGACGACGCCGTCGCCACCAGCCGGCGAGAAACCACTGACTCCTGCGGAGATTGAGGAGCTTCTCGCTGCTCTCTCCGGGGAGGTGCACCGCTTCTTCAATACGGTGGACGCGCCAGCCGTCGCGACTCGGTGGGCTTGCTTCCGTATCTTCATGGAGAGTGACCAGACTATCATGAACAATATCGGGTGTGCTGTTGCTGTCGATGCGCTCCATGAGGAAATCGCGGGCTGATTGTCTCAAAACTGAGAGCGTGGGTTTACGAACACATACAAGTGCGTGAGTATTAATGCGATCCATTAATCAGAGGTGGGGTGAAAGCTTGGATACTGCTCGAAGTCACTAGCCAGCTTTTAATTACTGTAATATGTCCGTTTCCCAGATCCAGAATGAGCGGAGTTCCAGGCCGGGACCGGAGTATCCTGACTTCAGAAACGAGCATTCGAAGGCTTAGTACTTAGAACGGTATAATATTCTCGTTGAGGGAGGGTTTACATTAGCTAAGCTCGGATAAGTAGTCTCAAAAATCAAGCCGAGTCGCAGTGAAAAAGTACCGGGGGGAATTCGATAAGGAAGACATTGTAGAAGAAGAAAGAGAAAAGGAATACAAAAGTGAACCCATCCAAAGTCAGACAGCCATCCCGTGGAATATACGAGTTTTTTTTGTCTCCCAGCATTGTCCCCTGTTTCCTCTTCTTCTCCGCGAAATCTAAGAGAATAAGCCGCGAGGAAGAAAGATGGAAATATTCAAGGAGAAGAAAAGAAAAGCAGTGGAAAGACTCCAGAAAATTGATGATGAGGAAAAAAAAAGAAAAAAAAACAGAAATTTAATTATCATCTTCGCTGCGTTCATGAAAGTGAAGGTCTTTTCAAAGAACATGATTCCTGCAATTTAAAACGAGTTATACATCGGGTTGCGGGTGCTGGTTTTCTTTGCCTAATATGCCGGGTGTAGAGCAAGCCACGTGAATGTCGAGGGGCTAGCTGCGTGAAAGGGGAGGATAAAACGACATTGCCACATGATTCTTCATTCCCGTCACCAAGATCTCATCTACTCATGAGGACGCCGGGGTTCCGTTCGGCTTCGGGGTCGGCGTTTTGCCTGACGGCTGGGGTGTTGTGGAGCTGGGCCGGTTTTGCGCATTGGCCGCTAGCTGAGCCTTGTTTCGATCCATCACAACAGCCTGCTCAGCAGCACTCCGCGCGTACGTAGCCGCAGCGGCTGAGTTCGAATAGCCCCCTGCTGGTGGCGGGGCCTGATTAGACGGGTTGTTGCCGTGATGAGGTGGCTGTTGCTGTTGTGGTTGAGGCGGCTGTTGTGGTTGCTGCTGATGCGGCTGCTGTTGCTGCTGCGGTATGTATCGCTGTGGTGCTTGCTGGGGATTCGTCGGCCCCGGAGGTATACTGTATGAGGCTCTCGGGGTTGCGCTAGGCGTCGTATAAGGGGGTTTTTGAGGAGATGCGCTCCGGCCGGCTGCCTGGGACGCGTGGTAAGATCCGGGCTGTCCAGGCCGAGGAGTGTAAGGTTGGGGGGATGTCTGAGCGGGAGGAGGACCCTGTGGTCCTGCATATGGATGGTAGCCATTCTGCCCTGGGCGTTGCTGATACGGTGTGCTAGGGTTGCCTTGGTTAAATTGAGGTGCCGGTTGGGAATAGCCGGGATAATAGCCAGGCCTTTGCTGAGGAGTCGCTGGCGGGCGGCCTCCCGCATACTGCTGCGGCGATGCTGAAGTATACGGGGCAGATGTCGAGTTTTGTCTTCCTGCAAAGTAGGGTTGAGCTGCTTGTATGTTGCCTTGAGGTTGAGCTCGTGTATTAGCGCCATACGCTCGTTGGTTGTACTGGGCCTGGTAGCTGGCAGCTCGGCTAGGTGTGGAAGTTCGATTTGCAGGAATAGCAGACGCGCGCTCCTGCTGCATGGTGTAGTCATCCTTCTCCATCGTCCCTTGGTAATCGACACCCTCAATCAGAATTTTCTGGCTGATATTGAGATCAGCTAATTGATCGCCGTCCAGCTTGGCAACAGCATATGGTGGAAGAGTCGAGACAAGCGCCGCTAGACTCGATTTAAGTGTCTCGTAAACGCTTCGCTCCTCATCCGATGGCGCGTCATTCGATCCAGGTCTTGGTGCGACATCAACGGGATCTATCCCATGGATTGCACCACTTGCGGGTGCCAAGCTGCGAATCTTTTGATACGAACTGAGAGTCTCTAGAAGCTCGGAGACATCACGCAGTAGGTCATCCATCTCCCGAGAGTCTTCGTCAATAGACTCACCCGAGGTCTTTTTGCTCTGGGTGATGCTATCTGTCAAGTCCTCTGGGTTGAATGATTTCACCATCTCCTCTAAAGCGCTCTCATCGAGCTCGCCTATATTGCCCGGCTGCACGGTTGATACGTCATTCTCATCTTCTGGGATTGCCATCGAGACAAGTGTGTACAGGCGTCTAGCTCCACGCTTACTCCACCATACCAGGTCTTTCGAGTCGGCTTGAACAACAGAACCTGAACTATCGAACGATGGGGCAAAGGAAGAATATACACCTTGCCAGAGCGCAATATCTTCGTCTGTAGATGGCATAGGGTCATCGGGAAGCTTTTCGTCCTCGTGGTGCTCTGAAGACTGCTTCTGACGGCGACTCCAAAAGGAGGGTGATGAAGTGACCCCACCGTACTGCAGCCAAGAGCCAGCAGGAAGTCTTGCAAGACAATAGTTGTTGCGGTCACCCAGAAATGATTTGTAATTCGTGATGGATTCGAACGGGTCGATCCAGCCACCTGAAGCATTACGAGGAGTAGTTCCCGTTTTGCGCGGTGCTTCTAACTGAGGCAACGTTGCACATGGTGCAAAGACCTCGCCGAAAGTTCTTTTGGGTTGGTTTGATTTCGCTTCCAAAATGATCGGTACCACCTTTGTGGCTGTGATCCCGTTCGGAAGGCCGCCCTCAGGCAAGGGCGCCTGCACCTCGACGTACTTGTCCGCGCCTGGATCATCTGATTGTAGTGGGACCTTGACGGTCTTCTGTAGACTCGAGTAGAGCTGTTTCGGGTTTGCCGGATTTCCAAACAAGGTCAGAACCGCGCTTTCATTCCGGATTTCAACGTTGGACGCAGTGGTTTTGATCGGGGCTTCACCATCCTCTGATGCTTCGGTTTTGACAGTGGTCTGGCTCATCTGTGCTTGACGAACCAAGCTATTCAGGAGCTTCTTGAAAGCAGCAATGCGATTGACGGTTTCCGTAAGTGGGGTTCCGTCGGCAGGCGCAGCAGTCGCCTGGGCTTTGTTTCTCTCAATCACTGCTGCAGAGGCCCTTTCGATGTCGCTCAAGAACTCCGAGAGGGTGTTATAGCGATCTGACGCGACCCGAGCTTGTATACTCGAGCTTTCATCCTTATCACCCGAGACCTTTGCGCGCTTCGAACGGGGCTTCGCCGGCGACGATGGCAACGGACAGGATAGAAGATGTAAATCCGAATCGTTTCTGAATGAAGGTAATGATCAGTCATCTCTCTTTGGTTAATCACCAAGTGGGCTTAGCGCTCACTTGCTCAGAATCTCCACCAGGTTTCGCAAAGTCTCCTGCAGTTTGGCTCGTTCTTGCGATTGCGCCGCAGCGGCAGTGGCATCCTGGGCGGCCTTGTCGTCGTGACTCGAGACACGCTTTCGCTTGCCCGGTGTTGCCAACGTGGATGGCTCAGGACTGTTGGGAGGTTGTTCGCCATTTGTGGCCGGCACTGCGGCCGTCCCTCCGCCTTCATCGGCACTCATGACGAATCAGTTGCGCCGCGATCCAAGTATTTTCTCGAGACGGCAATTTGAGGGATCGGGGCAGTTTCCCTTCAAGTTGTTTGATTGTTTGTTTGTGGGTTCTTGCTCACTTGAGAAAGTGTTGAATGTTAGAGGACACGGGATATTTAGAGCGCGAGGAGAGTGGACTTTTGATCCCTTGACCGGATTGAATCGACGATGAGCGTTGTAAATAAAGAGCAAAATGGAGGAAATGGGAAGTTAATGAGTCGATGATTGAGCGGTTCAGAGTCTTCGAAGTGGATGCGCCAATGGAGATTGACTGGACCGATTTAAGGAATAGTGCGCAAGCAGGGGAGGATCGGGACAGTACTCGACGCATATGCCCGCGCTACCGCGTAAGGTAAATTGAACCAAAGTGGGTGTAGGGGATTTTCGGCGCCAGTACGGAGTACGGTACGTACAAACTGCAGACGGGAAGAGTGGATGGTGGTTTAGCTTGGCAAAAGAAAAACAAAAAAAAAAAAAAGAAGAGCACGACTGCGGGAATCAAAGGATGAATTCTGGCTCCATTGAGAGAAAGAGAGAGAGTTAACAGAGGATCGACAGAAAGACCGAACAGATAGACGGACGGACAGTGAGGAAAGAGAGTGAGGGAGGGAGAGAGCAGAGCGAGAGCGAGAGCGAAAGCGAGTCTCCGCCCGCCGCCCTCGGGACTTCTGCGCGTGACAGTATTGATCACGTGATATTGGTATTTTTCCCCAATGGGATCCTCCATCCAAATCCATGTGCTTTGCGCTTTCTGAAAGTTCCACTCGGCTTCAAAGTTGCCTCCTTCACCTTCGCTCAGATAAGCAACACTCGCTTCACGGCTACTACTGTTATAGCTCAACTCGATGACCTTTCTTCATGGATGTCATCGGTCGTCAATTATGTGTCGAGCTGCTCGAGAGCTTTCTCTCTGAGAGCGGCGCAATTGCCCAACAGCTGTACATCACCGAAGGTACCCAACAATTGAAGAAGAAAATTCCGTAACCTATGCTGAAGCCTTTCCCTCTACAGGTGCCATACTATAACGGCTACCGCTGTACCTTACCCCCTATTAATCCCACATTGGCCTGTCCTATCCCAAGATATGGTCTATCAATTCGGTACATACACATACACCGCAAGCTCGGATCTACAACCGATGCATCCGATCAAAGCTCCCAATCAGTGCCTCAAGAACCGGGCACTCCTTTGCCATGGCTGACTCCTCGGTTTTGGAGGAATCTACGTCTCCAGTCATCCTTGAATCAAGCTTTCGTTGATCCGCGTGCGGATGATGAGCTGGCCAACACCGACTCCTCCAGGTCGACCGTCGCAAGCGCTGCACAAAACGGGGAAACTACAGACAGAACCCAACGCTCGGACAGAGGAGCATCGGGTATACGGATGGATGATTCTTCTGAAGAGTATGGGTACGACGCACCAGGTCAGATTGGGACCGAATCCACCCTCCGGTCGACGCCTCTCTCTTCTGCGAATCGTGATGGACTGGACATCGACCGGCCAGACACTGTTCAAGACTCGACTAAAAATACCAGAGCAAACCCCCACAGACAGGCCAAACGCCTGAAACGTTCCAATCCGTGGGGTTATGCGCCTGATCTTACTTCTACAGAGTACCTAATCCTCTCGATCTATAAGGCACACGACCCAGAGAATCGTCATTGGGCGTGTGGAGAAATTGATGATCTCCAGCTTAAATACAGTCAGGCGGCCATGTCACACTACAAAGCCTTCCACCGCATAACATTACAGGAGATTGTCGCAGACTACATACTGAATTTGAACCCCCTATTGGACCAATTTGGCGTACAATGCAAGGAACTCTTGGATCCTAGTCCGCAGCACCTCTCCCAGTACTCATGGAAGCTCAAAGCACTACGTGAGAAACTGGAGCGTGTTTTTTCCGAAGCCATTATCGAAAAACTGGCCTCACGAGGATATGCTGCCGCCGATGTGGTGACGTGGGCCTGGGTGCTTAAAAGCGAAACACCATATGAAGCTTGTCTTCGAATTTTACTAGCCGATGCCGATCAATATTCAGCGCAAAGCTCTCCGTCCGGGAGAGTTCCGCCATTCATTCCGCTACTCATTCTACGCCAGGGTCTCGACGTCAGAACGTTCAGATTACTCCTTCATTACTCTCTGGACCTCCTCACCGGCCAATATGTTCGACTCCCAAATAACCTCTCGCAGGACACAACGACCAAACGAATTTCCAATGAGAAAATCGTCTTCGGTACAACAAAGCCGCTGATCAATTTTGAAATGTGCTCAACCTTCGTTATTCGCTTGCTACACCATGCTCGTCAACTGTGGCCGGAGGCCCAACTTGCCATTATCCAGGCTTTTGCATTCTATTTGAATACGCTGAAGAAGAGTCGCCCAAGATTAACGTTTTCTGAGGATAAACTCCATGCGCTAGTGGTCGACCGGTGTAATACAGTACTTCGCCTACTTTCTCTTCCCTCTCGACGTGAGCCATTTTTATCTGTTTCGTTCCAGCAGCGTGCACAGCTTGAGCTTCTCCGAGCTATGGCTGCATTCCAGCCGGCCCTGCCGGTCACGAAACGGGGCTACCAAAGTCTGGTCGTCGTACAGCTTGCTCATAAGAAGACAGAAGCCGAGCGCCAATCCGCGGAACTCAAGGCCCCGTCGTGGCCGCCTTGGAAGGAAGATAAGATAGGGTACGACGTCGATCGGGGACTCCAAGGCAGGAAAAGTCGCGCGATGCGAGTGCTGGATCAAAAGCTAGAGGCGGGATATTCTTCCTCTGCATGGGATAATATGTCTCGTATCCTAGCAGGCTGGGACACAGACGGAAGCCCAACAATCCAAACCCGGTCCTTCGGGCTGTCTCGACCGGAAATTCTAGGCCGTTTTCCCGCCCACTCCGACCATTACAAGCTTTGGGAAGCACGAATTCGTGCTACAAGAACTGTCCGGGAAGCCTGGGCCTGTTTTCTTTCTTATCAGGAAAAGGGGTTGCGTCCGCATGGTGCTATATACGCAGCGATGGCGGAAAAGTTGATACATCGCAACCGAACTAGTAGCAGCGACAACAATAGCATGGCTCTACCAGGTGATGGACTAGAGGTTTTCCCGGAACCTTTATCCGCCAGAGACCTGATCTATGTGCCCTCTGAACCACCTACCTTGAACAATCTTCTGCATATGATGCTCTCTCAGGGTATCCGGCCATCCGGTCGGTTTCTTGCCTTGCTTCTAAGACATGCACCAACTTTTCATGCCGGGCTGGAGTATCTTTGTTGCAGCAATTTGACGGATGAGCAGCTTGGGGCTTTGTGTATTGATTGGGGAAGCGACTTCCGTCATCCCAATTGGCTCAAGACGGGACTGAACGAGCTGTCGGATTACCTTGTCGCTTCGTTCGTCAAGTTCCTCTGCAGCTTTGCCAATCGAACTTATTTACCCGTGCTACAGCCTACCCTGCCTCCCTCGGATCTATTTCCTTTGCGGTTGGAAGGAAAAAGGATGTTGGAGCCACTAGTCTTCCAGATGAGAAAAGAGCGACTTATTCCCTCTAACGGTCATCACAGGACGCTGCCTCATGCTATTGACCTTTTACGGGCGCGAGCCTCAAAGCCGCCACAAGCGTGGATCTATCTTCTGTCTGCCGTGATCGAGCGCAGCCCGCATAGATCCAGCGCTCCCGTTAAGCCGGTGGTGGCTTGGTTCAAAGCTCAGCTGCTCATGAGATGGATGGACCACCGCCAGATCGACACTGGCCTGGAAGGATTCAATATACTCTGTCAGGCATTCTCACGCGTCCTGATGATTAGGAAATATCATGCTGTTATGGAAGAGGGGATGGACATTGTTAGCAGGATGGCATTATCAGGTCAACTCAGTCTGCATGGTCTGGTCCTGCCACGACCTGAAGATGTGGTATCATCTGGCCTCGATTTTCTGAAGCAACAGTTTGACAAGTGCGTTCTCGGGGACCCGCATCTTTCCTCACTTTTCGAGCACAGTTCCTCGACAATTCAGCTTGTCACCGACGCACAGGTGATTTTACCGCCGATGTTTCATGTTCCATCTCCTGCGATTCTCCATCTCTTTGTTCGCACCCTTGGGATTGCTGAAGACTCGGATGGATTGCTAAGCCTCTTGCGGTGGATGAAGCAGCACGAACTTTCTTTGAAGGAGAAGTATGACCAGCTTTCAAATGGAGATCAGCTGATGCGCCGTGTCATAGTAGCCTTTCGAGTGTTCTTAGAAGGATCTAGGAAGGTCCGGAGCACCTCGGTTCAGCAGGAAGGCGGTGATCACACCGATTTTACAAGGTTGGAATTTTCCGATTCCCATTTACAGGAGGCCTATGAAATCATTACTTCTTCGAAGGTCTGGGGTTCTTGGCCGACTGATGATGAGTTCAAGAAGTACATAGCGCAGTGAGAACAACTGCATGGAGGCGCATGGTGAGGACGCATCGCTGCAGGTCGGCGATCATTATGCCAGCGCTATTCATCTCCAATGTAAATTACCCATTCTGAATATAGCTAGACCTCTGTGTGACTACTTCTAGAGACTACGTCGGACAAACAAATGAAGTACTGAACTTTCACCAAAAAAATGAAAATCCCCAGAAAAATAAAAATAAAGCGCTTATTCGCGGTTCCCCGCAATTTCCGTTTGCCGGTTTCCCCACACCTTCCCGTCCTTCTCCAACAACTTTCAGTCTATCTTCAACCCTTCCATCATCCTCCCATGAAATCCTCCAGAGGTTACCATCTTGATATCTCAGTTCAGCGACAATGGCACCTCGACTCGCCCCACCTATCTCTACCCTTCAAGCACTCTCACGCGCCGCTCCACTTTCAATCCGCATCCCAGTTGCGCGCTTGAGTACCAGCAGCAGCGACAATGTGATCCAAACTCAACACGTCCCGGCCCCAGGCTCCGGGACCATTCGCGTTCTTCTTCTCAACCGGCCCAAGGCTCGGAATGCCATCTCTCTCAGCCTGTTGGATGGCCTATCGCAACAGGTCAAATCCATCGCGGCCGAGAACGGCCAAGGGCCGACTCGAGCCTTGGTGCTCGGTAGCAACGTGGATGCCGCGTTCTGCGCCGGGGCGGATCTCAAGGAACGTGCCGACATGAGCAAAGAGGAGTTGGTCCCCCTCCCCCTCCCCCTTTCTTCCCCAGATATTCAATCTTCTGGTCTGCTAACCCCCACGTTCCGTTCCACCGCATCCACAGAACGAGCCAATTCCTCCGCCACCTCCGCCAAACCTTCACCGCCCTCTCCGCCCTCCCCATCCCGACCGTCTCCGCCGTCTCCTCCACGGCCCTGGGCGGCGGCCTCGAGCTGGCCCTGTGCTCGCACTTCCGGGTCTTCGGCTCCTCGTGCATGGTCGGGCTCCCGGAGACGCGCCTGGCCATCATCCCCGGCGCGGGCGGCACCTACCGCCTGCCGCGGCTGATCGGGGTGCACCGCGCGCGCGACATGATCCTGACGGGCCGGCGGGTGTCCGGGCCCGAGGCATACTTCCTGGGGCTGTGCGATCGGCTGGTGGAGGTCCTGCCGGAGGAGGAGAAGCAGGAGGGCGTCGCGCGGGAGAAGGTGCTGCGCGAGGGGATCAACCTCGCGCTGGGGATCTGCGAGGGCGGGCCCGTGGCGATCCGCCAGGCGATGAAGGCGCTGGATGGGTGGGAGCAGGGCGAGGCGGCGGAGAATGAGGCGTATGAGGGGGTGATGGGCACGGAGGATCGGATGGAGGCGCTGCGGGCGTTCGCGGAGCGGAGGAAGCCGGTTTTCAGAGGGAGGTGAGGTGGGGTTGGTAGTTCTCACTTTGTGGAAGTGGTGTACACTTTTCGTAAAGCTGAGAGGGTTACTGCTGAAGGGGTTACTGCTGAAGAGGTTACTGCTGAAGGAGGAGGAAAGTAGTGTTGGGCGCGTGATGAGATATCAAGATTACCACCATCACGTTTGGGGTGAAAATGCTGAGTGTTTTGAGCCGCAATTTATCTAAGGACTCTTTTATATCAAGGCATGGGTCGGTTATTCTTCTATATGAATCGATTCTGCGTTATAGTAGGTCGGATTCTAATGTCACATCTCCACCCCCAGCACAGACAGTAGGGGTAGCATCAAGCAGTATTGCCGTTATAGTATCATAGTTACTGATCAACCACCGAGGGAGGTATGGGCTGTTCGAAATTCCAATCCCTCTATACACAATACACCGACATGGAATACTTCGTCTTGCGGGCCTGTTGAGTCCAGGTCTGATTTGACGTAGTTATACGTGATAATCTAGTAAGTTGGATCTGGGACATGCCAGAGCCAAGCCAAGAAGAATTGGACGATTGCCTGATTTGGTGATATTCTCAGTTCAATTCTGACTCACAGCCTTCTCAAAGTAGCGTACTACAAGACTCGAACCTCCAAGTAAGAGGTCTTTCTCATCGCGCCGCTGCGCCTTCGGGGCGTTTGTTTTGCCCCGGGGAGAGAAGGAGGGAGGCTGCGTGCCCGCCGGTCAGCTGAGGGTGCCCCTCGGAGCTGGATGACGGGGGGTGTCTCAGTGGCAAGTGAGTACATCAACTGGCGCTAAGGTATGAGGGGTTTATTCTCCATCAGTGGATTTTTGAGCTGAAAGATAACATGAGCAGGTAGAGTGAGCAAGCGGACAAGCACCTGGGGTTGGAGTCAATCATTCAGGATTCCCGGTTGACATGAGGTACGTTTCTCATTCTCTTCATTGGGTTGTGTATGATCTTCCCTTCGGAGATAAAACTTACCTATATACACGGGCGTGGGGTTGTTTAAGCTTACCGTCTGACTAACTAGTAGTTGACGTAAGATTCTGCTGAGGTTATATGTGGTAAATGATGGATCATGGATTAAGCAAATGATTACCCTTTTCAGTAAGTCATGGCTGGGACAGGACAAGCCAGGAGTGGGCGTTGGTTAGTGAAGACAATGAGCAAATTCATTAGATATTAGTCGTTTCTGCTTCTACCCGTGATGAATAACCCATAAGTAGTTGATTTATCTCGAAACAGTAGACCTACAGACTGCCCTTGTTTGGACCCTCTACATACTCTCTCATTGCCGTGTATAGAGGGACTGCCTCGCGGTCAAGAATCATACGTGGCCTTACACTAATCAAAAGATCTTCTGGTCGGACAAATAATTACTCGTTACAAGGGTCTTTGAGTTAGTGCTTACAGCTGGCAGGCTGGGCTTACAGGGCGCCAGAACATCCTTCCGGAAGTTAACTGCGCACGCAGGACTGCCCCTTGTTTTGGATACGAAGGTGGAGGGCTTCCGAGCGATCGGTGAATATGCAACATCCTGAGATTGGGATACGGTGGGAAGGCGAGAGCCAGATGATGTTGTGTTTGACTGGTCTTCAATAGTGGTTTGAAATTTAATCAAGCATTTAGAATGAATGATGCTTGGGTGAAGTGGGGGTGGGTGGCAGTTGGTGGCTAACTTGTTGCAGAGTACGCGGTAAGTCACTGCCTGTCCAAGGCTACTAACTACGACTTGAGTCAACCACAGCGAAATCTGCCTGGGAACAAGACCACTACAAATCATCCACAGCAATCAGCAAGCAACTTAACCTTCCCGATCGGACGGATGCCAAAACCTTGGAGGAGTTCCCGTGGTTTTCCTCAGGGGGAGTGACCAGTGGGAGGTCATGCTGCCGGCCTCGCTGACTGCAGATCCGTGACACGAGCCTCGGGGCTGAGTCTTGCAGCTAGACTTGCGAAGAGTCCGACAAGGCTGAACAGTCACCATTACCTAGTAGGAGTCTCCTACCTGCTTTGATAGTACTAGCTTTGACCCTGTTATATCAGACAATGACTGACCTATCATCACTTGTCTCTCAGGAATTGTGGTCTTTTCCCGTGGAAAGTCCCCGTTTCACCCATCCATCGTTCTGTACTGTAACTACTACTTCTAACATAACAGCAACAATTGAAGACCTGTCAAGCGCCATGTTTATTTAGTTGACCTGTTTAAGATTGTCTCAACCTCAGCAAGATTAGCACAGCAAGATTAGGAAGTCTGATTGCCCTGAGGTGGAGATTTGTAGGGGTCTTGTTCTGCATTTGGCACCAACTGCCACCCCGGGGGCCGGGCAAGTCATCCGCCTTTCTCATGCTCCTTCCTCCTCAGCGCATAAATAACTTATTGTTCCCCCACCACACACACACACAAACCTCTCTCTCTCTCTCTTCTTCTTCTTCTTCTTCTTCTTCTTCTTCTTCTTCTTCTTCTTCTTCTTCTTCGTTCTCCACTACCACATACGCCCGCTCAATACTGACCTTTGTATCAGACATCCTACCTTCGCTTTCTTCCCCTTACAGGCATTCGAGATATCGTCAAACGTCCAAGGAATCTTGACGTTTCGACTATCTCACCCACACCCTAACCCATGGCCGGCCTTCCCGCTCGGGTGAAGGAGATCGGTCTCAGCGAGGTTTACCGTTCTGAGGAACCGCCCCTCGTTGATATTGTCTTCGTGCACGGCCTCAACGGCCATGCTTACAACACCTGGGCTTCCAAGAACAATGGCACCTTTTGGCCCGCCGATCTCCTTCCTGAAGTCCTCGGTCCTAGTCGCGTTCGCATCCTAACGTACGGATACAACGCCAACGTCACGGCTTTCACCGACGGCGCCTCGAAAGACCGTCTTCATAATCATGCAGAAACGTTGGCCTCGGGCTTGGCCGCGAACCGAAATGTGAGTAATATCCCCCCTCCTCCGCTCCTTCGTCTGACTCGCGCGGAAGTCGGATTTTGTCCCAGGGTATAGGTATTGACCTCGTTCAGCTGCGGAATTGTTCAGAAAGGCCAATAATTTTCGTTTGCCACTCGCTGGGCGGCCTAGTCGTCAAGCGCACCCTGATATACTGCCGGAGCGTGAACAACGAGAAGATCCAGCATCTCAGGTCCATATACGTTTCCACGTACGGCATCCTGTTTCTCGGAACTCCCCACAACGGATCCGACGTCGCAAAGTGGGGCGCGCTTTTGCAGAACATCTGTAGTGCTGTAATGCCGAAGAAGTTCATGGAATCTTCGCCTCACTTGGTTAAAGCCCTCAAGACAAACAACGAGACTCTTCAAAACATCAACAGCCTCTTCGCTGATATCACTAGTCGCTTCCACATCTACTTCTTTCATGAAACCTTGTCCAGTGACGTCAAGGGCACTCGCGAGCTGATCGTCGACGAGAGCTCTGCAGCGCCTTACATGGAAGGTGTCGAACGGATGGGCATCGAAGCTGATCATAGCCATATGTGCAAATTTGACGATGAGGGCTCTCCTGGATATGAGGCTGTGGCAGAGGCTCTCTTGCGATATTCGCGTGACGCCCCAGCGACTATACATGAACGCTGGATCGAAGAGGGAAAAGCGCGCCGGCTCATGAAAGAGACCATAGCCCGGGAGATGTTTGGAAATGGTATGTGATCTCGGTCGATTGCCTTCGCGTAACTCTTTCACTTCGTTCTTACCCAAGCGGCCGCCAAGAGCTGACGATGTACGGATAGTTGACACGGAGCAACTGGGAAGAAGCGCCCCGGACCTTCGCACAATTGGTAGGCCACACATGCTTCCTGGTCCCCATTCTCCAATCACCTGGAATCAGTACGAGGTCGAAGAGCCCCCGGAACCTTCATTCCCATATAGCAAGCATTTCTAGGCGGCGCATCGTGCTGAGGGAATTCGTGGAGGGGCGGTAATTGTCTTCTTCGTCGTCTCAATACTTTCGTCTGTTTCTCCGCTCCATGTATTCTAGTTGCCTCTTTTTGCCATGGACACATTGTCAGTCGATAATGCTGACTATGTCTCAGGTAACTCTGAATTAATGGTACTCCCTTCTGAGAGAAGACGCTCGGTTGTATCGGAAATGGCGATGGCAGAGAGCACCGAACTGCCTATGTCACGATCGCTACGGGCAGATCCGCTGTTTGTGGTCCCACCCGGTTTCCATCCAAATGCAACATTTGTAGGCATGAAGAAAGAGCTTGAAGTGTTGAATGCGCGTTTGTTCAAAGCCAAGAAAAGAGCGGAGCGTCTAATGGCCGTCTTGATTTGTGGAGGACCAGGGACTGGCAAGTCACACCTTGCACGACAATACGTGTGCACTCATCGAGACATCTACCCAGCGGGAATTTTCTGGGTCGATGCCAAGTCACTTGAATCAACCTACAAGTGTTTCTGGGATATGGCTCAAGCGGCTGCACTGACGGATGGGCAGGAATTTCGGTACCCCGACACCAACCCATCTCGCAAGTATGTAGACTCGGTGAGGACATGGCTGCAGAACCGGGAAGGGTGGCTCATTGTGTTCGACGGAATCAGCTTTGCGCACGAGCATGATATCAACAACTTCAAGCAGTTCCTCCCGTTCAACAAGAACTGCAGTATCATCTACACCTCCGTGGATAAAACCCTGAAGAGGAAACAACGTTTGTACGAGCCATATTGCCTTCAGGTGAAGCCACTCGAGCCGGAGAACGCATGCAAGCTGCTTTTTGAAGACCTCGGTATCAGAAAACCAACCGCAGGCCAGATCAGGAAAGCCACGGAACTGGTAACTCACTATGAGTGCCTGCCACTCGCTATACATGCGATTGGCCACAGGCTTAGCGCCACGTCGAAGCCAATTGAGCGTTATCACATCAATTCACATTTGACAGACGAAAAGCTGGCGGAACCGTTTCTAAGCATCATGCACGACCTAATGTGTCTGGGGCATTGGACGGCACTCAACCTGGTTAACATGCTTTCGTTCTTTAGTCACCATATCCCGGTTGGTCTCTTGACCTTGGGTCTCTCAACACGTATAAAGCAGAGGGCTGGAGTCATCACCCAGAGCAGAAGCGGAGAAACGGGGGATCTTGACACGACGATTGGAATCTTGATCCGGTATGGCCTCATTGAACGAGTATCTGACTCGTACCCGCTGCACCCCACAGCTCTGTCGCCCCAGGCAGAGAGAGACAATGTGCTGGAACAAAAGTTTGTGGTACCGGACCTCTCTGAGTCGCAAACAGAAAGCAGTCAGGAAGCCTTCTTCTCTTCAATATTGCAGAATGCAGGAACGATTGACGTCTTGAAGATCCATAGTGTCGTTCAGGGGTTCTGCCGTGACGAGCTGAAGATGATGGATGAAGAAGAGCGGAGGAAAGCCGCCGCCACAAACCCAGACGCTCCGGAGACTGGATTGTATGATTCATGGCTTGTCGTGGTATGCGACGTACTCAGCACCTCGTACACGAAAGTCCAAACAAGAAACGAAACTGGCGGCTACGGACTTGTCAAAGATTACCGCGAGTTCGAGACTCATGTGTCAAAGGTGCTCGAGCACTTCCCAAGACGATCTGCCCGGGAGGCAGCTGCGGTCCGTCAGGCGCGGGAAGACATGAGGATATTGAAGAGGAGTATTTCCAGGGAGATAGATCGGATTTCACCAAGGTCTGGTTCGATCTATAACCAACGCTCGGTCTTTGATCGATCAAGTAGCTCTTCTTCATCGGTGCCCGAGTCCGCCGCTGAAGACTTGCCTGCTTGGCTTGAACCGACATCGCCCCAAGTGGAGTCTCCGCAGGAAGCCGCTCCGCGCCCGCAAAGATTCAATCTGAAGCCTTTCCTCCCGCACATATTTCGTCATTCCAACCAGGATCAGGCGGGCAGCGCTCCTCTGATCTCGCAAACGGGTGAAGCAAGCGAGAGGCCGGAGTCCAATTCAGCCGAAGTGGTATCTAGTACGAATACGTCGGATGACCGAGGCTGGCATCTTGTCAAGAAATCTTCGAAGCCCTCAAAGCCTGCTGTTAACAAGCCTAAACGGCCTGGCCTACCGCATCGCATTCGTGGCTCTCAGCCTGCGGCGCCTGTTCTCAAGGTCTTCCCCGTAGAGGGCATATCGGGCAAGCCTGGAGACCAAGACCGGAGCAGCTCTCGGACCTCGGCGTCGGAGGCGTTGACGGCGGTCACAAAAGTCACGCGCCCCCAGATGAACGGCAGGCAGTTTGCAAGTGCTCCAGGCGATTTCACAAAGAGCTTGTCGAAAGAAAATGATTCGCCCAGCTACGCCACGATTGCAGCCAGACAGGCGCAACATATCACTGAAAAGCCACGGTCATCCTCGATTCCTAGTAGAAGCCGGCCAATGTTGCAGGGTCTGCAGGATAAATCTTCTGAAGAATCACTTTTCAACCGTTCGAGCAACGTTATGTCTTCGAAGCTTCCAATGACTTCTTCGGCATATAGTGAGCCTGATCCGGCGTATTTAAGCCATCAATTGAATGCTTTGGAACTCGGGGTGACGGCTAGTCGATATAGAGCGCCTCTGGGCACGTCCTTCAGTGGTATTGGGTCTCCAGTGGGCGATATGTCAGCAAGCACACCTTCTATGACATATCTCGCGCCAGGCCTGCCATATGAGGGTAACATCGATATATCAGCAGCACGTCGACTGAGCACCACACCATCGACATCAACAGGCCCAGTTTCCCATCCGTCTGCGATCATGCCCGGAACATCACCACCGTTTTCAGACGTGCACGCTGGATACACGTCCGAGCCGGCCCCAGAGCCGATGTCTCGTGATATGTCCGCGAAGTCACAACAGTCCTGGGCCACCGACCCAGTCCCTTATCCCAATAGATGGGCCCCAGTAAACATCATTCCACCAATCCCGAAGCTGGCACCACCGCCAAGGCCAAGTAAATTTCAGGCAGAGCTTTCGTACGCAGCGGCAGCGGCACATCTCCGGACTTTGGAGCCTCTAGAGGGTCCCGTCCCCTTCGAGCCTGTGTGGCCGCATATGAATGTTGACAGCAGACCACAGTTTGGTGGGCCAGTGCAGTATGCAGCGGCAGCAGGGCAACTCTTGCCTGGGTACCCTGCAACTTACCACCCAAACCTCTCCGGACCTCTACTCTCACACGAGTTCACCATACCGATGGCGGAGCCGCGCGGCGGGCGAGCCCGGAGTGGGAGCTCTCCTCCACGACAAGAATAACCCAGAAACGGGACCAAGATCGAATAAGCAACAACGAGAAGTACTCTCAGTTATTTGGCGTCAGGTTTGTCGGAGTTATATTGCGTGAAAACAGCATAGCAGGTAGGGGGGGGAAATGGAGGGCTCGGTGTTGACATGTATTATCCCCGCATGTGGGCGGAGTAACGCGTCTGTGGATATTTGGCTTGTTGATTTATTTTCATCATTTTCCGGGCACCGATGACCAGTTTTGTTTGAGACTGTATCATCAATAGAGCAATGCCACACGAAGCAAATAATAAGGTGTAGTTGATTTGACGCAGATACACACGGTTTCACAGTTTTACCGGCTTCAGAGATGATTTGTGTGTGGGGGAAAGAAGAATGAAAGAAGGCGTAAAGGAAGAAAGGTGCGGGGAAACGGGAACATCGCAGCTACACCGCCTTCTGGATCCGAGATATACAAGGCAGAAAGCACTTTGTGCACATAAGTTACGCTATCTACAGTGCTGAAATGTACAGCGAGGAAGCATGCACTTGATTAGACCACATCAGAGATAGAGCCAAGCTCTGGCACTTAGGGCTGATTAAAGTAGTGTTCTTTTATAAGTAGTTCTCTAACAAAAACTTACAGTACGTACAAGCAAGAGCAAATTCTGCCGGGGACCAGACCGGGCGGTAGATTTGCGGGGGACCCACTGGGGAAATGGGCTAAGCCCAAAAGAGAGGGAGTACGAGAGGTGGCGGGCGGGCATCGACGTAAGAGCGACATAAGAGAAGAGAAGCAAGCCAAGCCAAGCTGTCCAGGATGACGTCGTTCAACTGCCATGCCTCAAGCTTATAAGACTCTGGTTGCCAGCATGCTTCCTGGACTACACTGACAACTACTCCGTACATTCACATCTGATCCTCAGTCTCAAGAACCATCTTCAATTGTTACAACTACTACCATTACTACCACCACTACTACTACTCTATACATACATCTCAACGTACATCTTATACAATATCCCACCATGTCTTTCATCGCTCGCATCGCCCCTGTCGCTCGCACCGCCTCCGCGGCTCTCAAGCCCACTGCTCCCTCCATCTCCATCGGCGCCACTCGCGCTCTCTCCTCCAGCGCCTGCCTGAACAAGGGTCCCGTTGAATCCGCCAAGGACACTCTCAAGGCCGCCGACCGCACTGTTTCCGATGCTGCGGTGAAGGGTATTGAGGTCGGAGGTACGTTATCCCAAGCCTCTCCCTTTCTCCTCCCCTCCCGGAGGGTCTATGCTAACCCGATTGAAACCCCCAACAGAGACCGCCGCCGAGAAGCTCAAGGGTACCGTGGGCGCTGCCTCGGGCCAGGCTCAGGCCAAGACCGGCGAACTGCAGGGTGATGCGGCTGAGTTGGCCGGCAAGAGCAAGGGTAAGGCCGAGGAGGCTTTGGGTCAGGCCAAGGGTGCTGCTGGCCAGGCCAAGGGAAAGACGGACGAGCTCCTGGGTGAAGCCAAGGGCAAGGCTAAGGAAACTGCTGGTCGGTTCTAGATGAGCAAGCATCATCTTTTGATTTTATTGCGCGTGGTTTTCTTTTTACTTGTTCCTTGACAACCACTTTCACTGGATGATGTGATGACGATATGCTAGCTATCATGGGCCTTGTGATTGTGGGCCTTGTGATTGTATTATTATTATTCTAATGAAACAAAGGAAAGATTTCTTCATATAATTTTTATGACTTTGATGATAGAGTAGTTGTGGAGGTGGTTAGTGGCTCGGCGATGACGTAAGGCCGCATGGCTCTATCGCCAGAAGGATCGGATCCAACATTCTAAAAATAAGGAGTTTTCGGGGTCTTGCAGAACTTTAATTCCTGTGCCATGTGAGGGAGTTTATGAGTGTACGTACAGGTACTCACAACATAAGTTATAGGTTATAACGATAAGGCAGTTACTAGAAGGCTTTCAGGTCGTCGGTTCTGATGACGCCAACCAAATATTTACTTGTATCTGGTTCAGGGGCCAGATGTATTGTGCATAACTAAACCTTGATCCATGATTTGTTATCCAACTGTCCCTGCCCCTCCGATCATGAACCGAGGCATGTTTTTTTTGCCTCTGTTCCCCTTATCGCCCCTTCCCCACTCGGCTGATGCTTCCTGCTACCTACCTCTCTTTTCTTTTCTTCTACTTTTTTTCTCTCCTTCTCGATGTTTCCCTGTTGTGGTGGTTTCCCCTCCTTATCCTGTCCTCTTCACCTTCCATTCATTTCCACATCGTCTTTCCTGGTCTGAAACAACACAATGAGGAATTTCGATAACCCCCTCAGTGTGCTCAAGGCCATCCTTGTGCGCATCCCCCTCGTACTCAAAGTCATCTTCCTCCATGCCATTCGCCTCTCCCCGGTCAAGGGCAAGCAGGATCTCCGCACCGAGTTGACTGTCGCCATCATTCGCTCGCTCCTCAGCTTCAGTGCCTCCATTTCCGAGCAGCAGAAAGCCAGCATCCGCGACCCGGGCATCAAGGGTCCCATGTGGGTGTCCAAGGTGACGTTTCCGCAGCCGGAGATCGACGTCCAGGACGCAGTCGTGAAAGCCATTGAAGCCCTCAGAACGGGCGATGAGACCTACGATCTGCCTGGAGTGGCACCGGTCGAAGCAGAATGGACAGGCTATCGCAGTGGCGTGAACAAGAACGCCCCGCAGCCCGACATCTCTGAGGAGGCCAAGTATGAGGAGTTGAAGAAGGAATCGAAGGAAGACATGGTCATTCTCTACTTCCATGGGGGGATTTACTTGTGAGTTCTCCCTGTCTTTTTCTCTCTCTCTTCCACACACTCTCTCTCTCCATGACCACTGAAGGATCAATCGTGTCATCTTGCACAAAACTCACCAAAACTCACCGCTCAATTCCAGCCTTATGGATCCCTGCACGCACCGTCCCACCGTTGCGCAACTCTCCAAACGCACTGGGGCCCCCGTCCTCTCCGTGCGCTACCGTCTCGCCCCCCAGCACCCCTTCCCTGCCGCCCTGACCGACGCCCTCGTCGCCTACCTCTCCCTCATCTCCCCACCCCCGGGCTCCCTCCATGACCCTATCCCTGCCAACAAGATCATCCTGGCCGGCGACTCCGCGGGGGGCAATCTCTCCCTCGTCCTCACTCAACTCTTGCTGACTCTCCGCCGCATTCAACCCACCATCCGCTTCCACGGCCGCGACATCCCCATCGCCCTCCCCGCAGGCGTCGCCACCTCCTCCCCCTGGTGTGACATGACCCGGTCGATGCCCTCGGTGGCCCATAATGCGATCTACGACTACCTGGATGCGCCGACATCTTCGCCCGCCACAGACCCGTTCTTCCGGCCCCTGGTGGTCCCCGCCGACGACATCTGGCCCGTGAAGCCTCCGCGCGTGGACCTGTACGTAAACGCATCCTCCCTCCTGCACCCGCTCGTCTCTCCGATCGCCGGCGACGCGGAGCTCTGGGCCGACGCCCCGCCTGTGCTTCTCTCCATCGGCGAGGAAGGTCTCACAGACGAGGCGCTCGTGCTTGCCCGCAAGATGCACCGCGCCGGCGCCCCCATCCTCGTTGAGCAGTTCGAGGGCATGCCGCACTGTTTCGGGCTGGTGATGCTGGACGCGCCCTCAGGTCGGCGGTTCTACGATGGCATGGCGCGATTCTGTCGCGATGCGGTGTTCCATAAGGGGAAGGAAGTGAAGGCGAAGAGCGGCGAGGTTACATTCATCGGGTATAAGTTGCTCTCCGAGAAGGCGATCCCCGTGGAGAAGGCAGTCACGCTCTCGGACGAAGAGGTCGAGGAGCGTTTGCGCGTGAATGCGCAGTGGCGGTTGGACGGCGAGAGGGAGTTGCAGAGGGAGTGGGCGGACAAGGCCAAGTTGTGATTTTTCCTTTCCCGCCCGGACACACCATCCATATACACAACAACCTTTAAGGTTCTCTCCCTTACCTCTTTCTCCATTCTCCATATCCCCACCCCTCTAAGGTGTTCTCAATTCTTCCCAATTGATCTTGTGGATGATGTGACAGTTTAGGTTTGACCTCTTTCGCTTGGCGTGTTACTCGATTTGTTAATGTTGTTCATGGTTCAATACCCTGTTAGACTATTTGCGCTTAGCATAATGAACACGATTGAATGTATTCCGCCCAGATGAAATAGTTGCTCTATGCACGAAGGATCTTAGTGTGTCCGTACTAGTATCTAGTCTCCGACTAATTTAGTACGTACTACCGGAAAGGGGAAAGTAAACACGGGTTCGCGCAGATCCACGATAACCTTAGATAAGAGCTGTACCGGCATGGCATGGCGCCTCGGGATTCAATCCTACACATACTCATGTAAACAAAAAGCGGCCGCCGGATTAAACCCTGACCAACTCAACTATGATGCAAAGCAATGCAGAGAAGAAAGTTCAGGCCGAAACGATGCTCAAGTAGGTAGTAGCGATCAAAAAAATAAAGGCTAATAGACTGGTAGAGCTTCCTTCCTCCCTTTCGATACCAAGTCATGAATCATATTCCGGCCCCCAGAACACCATGCACTGGGAAGTAATGTGACGTCGAATAATGGATCTCCTCACGAAAGCTATATGACCTAAGGGTAACCTGCTTGTAACTGAACTAAATCATCTCATCATCATCCATGGACCCGTCGTCGTCCCAGGAACCAGATCCAGCATGGCCTCCTCCATGACTCTGGCTGGGGTTGCGCCCACCCCCATTCAAGTCTAATTCCGGAACGGCTTCGGGAACCACCGGTCGCTCGTCGTCTCTTCCGGCCCACAACTTCGACGGCGAGAAGAAGCCACCGCCACCACCACCACCACCACGGCTTGCTGCTGCTGTGGATTGTGCGAGACTTACAACGCGGGTTCCGTGGATGCGGATCTCGCCCGACAGGTTCAGAGGCCGGGGGGGCTCCGCGACGAAACCGTCCCAGAGGCCGAGGGAGAGGGCGACGAATCTGACTGTGGCAATAAGAATGGCCCAGACCGGTGCGAGTATGGACGAGAGATTCAGCCAGCGCCAAAGCATTGTCGGAATCACATAGGGGAATTGAGGTGCATCGTGCCGGAGACAGTTGCCCTCGCAGACGTTCGCGATGATGGGGTGGCAGTAGTAGTCGCACATGGTGGTTTCGGAGTATAACCAGGCCAAGAATATGAGGAGGCACCATCCGAGGCCGGTGGGACGGACGCGTCGGGAGATGGGATCGCGTTTCCAGAGCCGAGGAAAGGAGATGATGGTGTAAACCCGACCTTCAGTCTCCGCCTGGCACTTCGCGCAGATGGTTGCTCGTGAAGATTGTGAACCCTTGGCTGAGGGTGCGGTCAAGACACCGGCGTCGCGCGAGGCTTGTTCCTCAAGGCTCTTCAATCCCGATTTCACCTTTTGTATGTTCTCCGCCAGCGACTTCAGCTTCTCGTTCAGGCGATCTAGATCCACGGTCTCGTTATCTCCGGAGCCTGCAAGCTCAAGTTTCTTCAAAATAGCCTTCTCGTACGCAGCATCCTCCTCTTCCGCAGTAGCATTTTCACTCGGCTTTCCCTCAAGAAGTCCTTGAAGGGACTCGATCGTATCGTCGCCCACGTCGAGTATGTTCTTGTGAGCTTTAAAGTCCTGTAATACCGTTTCAAGTGCGCTCTTAGGCAGGTCTGGCTTGACCAACGGTTTTTTGTTCCTTCGCTTGGCCTTCTGACTTGCCTTCGATTGCTCTCCTGGTTGCTTTCCCTTCTTCGGTTCTTCTTCTTGGCCTTCTTTGCTAACCTTTTCAATATCTTTTTCTGTCTTGTCTTCCTTTGGTTTGTTCTCTACCACGGGTTCTTTCTTGACAAAAGCAGGCTCTTGTCGCTTTTGTTCTCTGTCTTCATTGTCTGTCTTAATTAGAGCCTCCGACTCAGATGGCTCTGACACCTCGCTAATTCTGGACTCTCGAGGCAGGAAAGATGACGCGTATCGGTGATTCTGCGGCGGCGACGGCACGATATCCCGCGACAGTTCTTCGGGAAACTTGTCCACTCGCTCAGTCATCGGAGTATCAATCCAAGCACCAGTAACGACTGGCGTCTTGTCGTAGATCCGTGGCCTTTGTTGAACTTTCTGAGCTTCCGGGGTTCTGAACTCATCGGTATTCCGTTGCCCGGGGCTCTCAGTCCGTGACAATTTCCGGAGTAGATCCTGTGAGTCCCTCTTGGTTGGGCTTCGTTTGGTGAAGGTCGAGCTCGGGTATAGAGTGATTGGTGTGTTGGGGATCCGTTCGCCCTCGGTCACTTTCTCGGCTCTCCGTTCCGAAGACAACTTGTTCTCTGCGTCAGAGAGAGGGACCCTGTCGTATCGTCCCGTAGAGCGTTCTCCGACCATGGTCCCTCGTTCCAAATTACTTTGTGTGTCCCGATCCGCCCTCACCCTCGGAGGTGAGGGGTCTTTCGACCTATCCGCCGTGGAACCCAACGGGAGGTTGTCGCGTCGCGTCATAGTCTTCAGCCAGTCGCTACGGTACCTCGCCTTGGATCCCCAGTCCTGAGGTGGATGGAACGCAGGCCTGGGCTCGTTATCATCGTCTTCCACATCCATTGCCCCTCCCGGGATCTCTCCCTCTTCGTCGCGTCGCTGAAGGTTTTCCGAAGTCAAGGCGTCTCGAGTCCCTGCATTGCTGAGAACAGGTGAGCGACTGGATGTAGCCCTTCTCAAGCGCCGCTCGTCCTCGACACGATCAACCTGTTTCCGGCGGGAGGATTCGTCCGGTACGTCGTTCAAGAAGTCCGGGCTATAGGAGGTGAACCAGTCAGTCCTCTTCCTCGCCGACGCCGACGACGACCCGCGACTACGGTTACCGCGGAGGCTCGCCAGCTGGAAGTCTGCATCCAATGGGTCCTCGTCAATGAGGCTACCCGCATCGTCGATTTGGCGGTACGTTTCCGCGAGCTCGTTCGGAGGGTTCGATACCGGAGACGACAGAAGGAAGGGATCTCGATTTCGTCCATACGAGCCGTACCCAGCTGATGCGTCGGCAGCTGCAGCTTCTCGGTCCGGCATACTGTCAAGACGTGAAGCGAACGCGAATGCACCTCGTAAGGAATTGGTTTGGCTGAAGTTCCGGCGACGACGGGGCGAATTGGATTCGTAGGGAGGGCTGAGGCCCAGAGACGCGTCGAAATGGTCTGCAAGATGAGCCTGGCGAGCTCTTCCGAAGGGGGAGGGATGCTCGTCGGTGGGTTGATTGTGGCGGTTGCTGCGACGCGACAACGAGGGCCGGTCGCTCCTGCGTTCGGGGGTGGAAGGCATCGTGACAAAACACAGGCAAGCGGATGCCCTCGGGGGCGGGCCAGTGGAATTTCGGACAGTGCGCTCCGTGAGGCAGAGGGAATGCTACAGGGCAGTGAATGAATGTATGGAGCGAACTGAATGCAATTAATTGATTGGCAACTCGACGAGACTCGCGCCCAGGAGTTCGTTGCGGCCGCGGCCCCGATCGGGCTTAGTGGGCTATGGGCGTCATCTCCGTTTCTCCTCCTTCTCCTCTCCCCGATTCATACATTCAATCATTCATAAATCACTGATTTCCCTAACAAGCCAGTCAAACAAACCACGTCGGTTCACGGCTACTGATCAGGTACGGATGAGCCCATCACACTCCATGATCTTCCCCCCTCCTCCCTCGAAACAAGTGACTCCGAGAGCGTTTGAACTAACCACATGTGACCCGGTCAGGCGAATCGACATACTCCCGGTGTTAGCTTCCTACTTTTATCCTTTGCGCCTCCTCCCCCCACGCCATCAGCCACTTGGAAAACTATAGAACAAGACCGGGAAATCCGCATGCGCCGGGCTTAAGAGTCCTAAACTCCCCTTCAAACCCTCGTATCCCTCCACCTTCAGCAAAAGAAAGCACGAGCATTCCAAAAAAAACAACATGGCCAAATCCGCCCGACGAGGCCCCAAGGCCAAGGGCTCTACGACCACATCCTCCTCCTCATCGGGATCCGGTACATCGACACCAGCCTCTCAATCCGCGGCGATGCCTCTGCCTCCGTTCACGAAAGCCCCGTCCAGCCTCCTGCCCCTCCTCTCCCCGCTCTCGCCGCGCGAGATCTACCTCATCCACATCGACAGCACGCCGATCAGCCAGAAGAAGCAGACCTTCGTCGTGCCCGTGCTCATGAACCTCGCCATCGTCGGTCTGCTCGCCTACCGGGTCTACTCCGTGCGCCACATCTACCCGGCGATGTTCGCCTCGCTGGTCGGCCTGACCACTGCCCTCTCCGTCGACACCGCCACCCTCAGCTGGGGCGATCTCTCCGGCCTCCTGCTGGGCCGGTTCTTCACCGTCCTGCTCGACTACTTCCTCGTCACCGTGCTCCTGCCCTGGCCGATCCGGTTCGTCTTCGGCCCCGTCCAGTGGCGCCGCCGCGTCGGGTTCCGCGACCGGGAGATTATCGTCCGCCGGAGCCAGTCCGGGCTGACGCAGGACCTGAAGCGCGACCGCTGGATCCGCGAGGACGAGGAGACGCGCGACCGGATCGTCACGGCCGTGACGCCGGAGAAGCTCCGAAAGACGGGCTACCTGCTCGTGGACAAGGACTGGGATCTGGACTATGAGGCGATGATCGTGGCGCATGAGATGGTCGACGGAGGCCATGGCTCCCCGGACAGCAAAGAACAGACCGTCAAGCTGGAAGAGTTCCGGACGGCGGTGGTGGTGAACACGGACGCTCACGGCTGGTTGGTCTGGCGGGTCGATGATGAGAATCAGACCTCCGTTCCGGATGCAGACTCTTCTGCCTCCTCCTCCTCGTCGTCGTCGAAGAAGGACCAGAAAGGCAAAGGGAAGCAAGAGATCAGCGACGGTGCGGTCCGATCGGCCCAGCGCGATCAGATCATTGAGTTCCAGCAGAAGTTGACCGCAATGGGCAAGGAGGACCTGTTCTACCGGTGGGTCGAGCTGATTCAGTACGAGAGCACTCAACCCGGTGGGTTCACGCCCGAAAGGCAGGTGTCGGCCATGAAGCAGGTCAAGCAGCTTTTCGAGGAGAATGATGTGGATTTCGACAAGTTCTGGGAGGACGTGGGTGGGATGGAGGAGTTCACGGAACAACTAGATTAGTTATCCTACCCATTTTTTGTCCTTTTCTCGTGCGTTTGGGGCTTTACCATAATTATTCGTTCTTGTTGTAATATAGACTGGTTTTTACGGATGTTGCAGGAGAGAAACCATCTTTGTTTACTCAAAGGCTTGAGGCATTGGGAGCATCGGTGGTGCATGGCGAGGCGTGGCAATGCCGGCTTACAGGGCATTTGTCGCTCCCAATCTATTTCATTTAAGTCGAACATCTTCGTGCAAATGTTTCAAATCAGAGTCCATAGCAACGTGCCTGTGTCTAGTTTGCGCCGGCTAATCAAGACAGATAAAGCAAAGAATCAAAAGCAAGCAAGATATCAAACATGTGAGCCATTTCCATTTCGTAGGGTATCATATCAGGCCCGGATCTGCCATCCATGCGTATGTTCCATGTTTCCGAAGTCACCACCTTCCAGGGATTCAGCCTGCTGTTTCTGAGCTGGGACTTTTAGGCTGCATCAGCTCATTGGCGACCATGGCTCTCTACACGGTAGTCGACAGACCACAGCTTCTCCCAGGGACGATAACGCGAGGTTCGCCGACTAGCCGGCGTATGAATGGACGAGACGTCGACATCCTCCAGCCGCACCGACGAAGAGGAACTTCTAGCGCCAGGGATGAACGGCGGCTGTGGACGGAATGAAGTATCGGGGATCTGGCCCGCACCCTGTTGCATTTCGTCAGCTCCCAACCAACCAACCCACCGCAGATGAATTTACTATCTCCTGCTCTGTGGATCCTGGAGTGGGTTGCGGCGAACCTCGTCGGCATTAGACGGTGCCTCCCGTGGTCGTGAGCTAGCAGCCACAGCAGCAGGTGCATCATCCTCAGCCTGCCGGGCCAGATCTACGGTGGATTCATTGCCGCGCTGTGACGGTGTCGAGGGTGCCTTTTTCGAATTGGAGCTGTTCCGCCGACTATCAAGGCTTTTGGATAGAGTCTTGGCGACATCCCCGCCGGCGGAGGTGCGCTTCAGACGAATGCTGCCCTTGGCGTCGACGTGCGCTGGCGCAACGGTGCTCTTCCCAAGGCCTGGCGTCGCGGGAGCTCCAGGCTTCTCCTCTGTAGCATCGAGAAGGTACCAACGAAGACCATCTGAGAGTTCGAAAGGATTCTCATCATCGAAGGAAGTGCCGTCGCTGACTTCGGTAATAGATCTTCGGTCAGGATTGGCGCCATTCAGCGATTTGGAGAGGTCCACAACTCGTTCTTCAATCTTGGTGATGCGAGCGAGCAGCCAGTCTCGAGTCTGAAGTTTGTGCGCGTCTTGCTCACGTAGGAAATAGTGCGGTGCGCCGACATTGAACGCCGCCCAAGACCGAATTGCTTGGTTCCTCGTCGGCAGGAATAGAGCGAGATCGCCTTCCTTGAAAGACCGATACGCAATCTTGTCGTGAGCTTCACTTTGCACCCGGTGATATTTGTCGCGATACCCGCGAGCCTCCTTCTGCCACTTCCGGGCGAGGGTCTCAATATCCTTGACGCGCTTGACGACGGCATCGCCAAAAATGTCCACATCAAATTGATACAAGCACTCTATGAAAGCCATAAACCTATCGGTCTCTTCCTCTTTGGTTTCGGCGTGCATCCATGTTAGGAGACTCGCGTCTGGCTTCACAGAGACCACTCCGGACTGGCTAAGACTTTCACCCGTGACAGACATGATATTGACTTTGGAAGATCTTTGCACAACAATGTTTCCGTCTTGCCGGATAATGGTAAACCCAAGTTGCTCGAGCATGCGTTCCAGCTTCTCAACCTGCGCGAAAAGCTGCTTAGAAAGCTGCTGGGATCTAAGCCCGCATGTTTCTGACCGTACCGTGGCCCGTTGCTCGGCTTCTGATATCGCCTCCACCTTCTTTCTCCAGGTCGTGACCTCTTCTTCCGACTGGCGAGCTAGGGTCTCGACCTCGGCCAATCGTTGAGAGAGGTTGGTGAGCTTTCGTTCTTCCTGCGTGACTCGCTCTCGGAGAGCATCAGAGCCATTTTCACCGGCGGCAAACTGGGTTTGAAGTGCAATGAGTTTTGATCGCTCGTCTTCCAGCTCAGAATTGACGATCTCTAGCTTGGATCTTTCTTGTGCCAGCTCTTCACGAACGCGAGACAGATCCGCTTCCCGTGCGTCTGCACGCTTTCGCAACTCTTCGGTGTCCACCTCCATCTGGTTCAGGCGCTCTTCAAGCTCTTTATACTCTGCTGCGGCCCGCAGAGCATTCTCTTCTGCATTCTTTGCATGGATAGAGAGTCCTTCAGAAAGCACCTCGATTGCCTTGGTAATGTCCATGGATTTGGCTGGGACAGAGCCGCCGGGAGATAGATTCATAAAAGCAGCTTGTAGAGAGCTAAGGTTCTCTTTTTCCAGCTTCTCATTGTCTGCAATTATGTTCTGTAACTCAGTTAAACGGAGACCAAGATCATTGGCCACGTCCTTATCAGATTCCATCTGCTTTAATAGTTCAGTGGCTTTGCGCGATTCCTCTTCGGCGCGAGCGTGAGCCTCTTGCAACTCGACTTCTAGCTGGTGAATACGCTCATCAGTGTCCTGTTTTTCGTGCTCGCGACTATCCAGATGCCTATCCAGCTCTTCTTCGACCTCCTCGGTACGTATCTTCAGCCGTTTTAGTTCGCCTTCGAGGTATCTTCGCTCATCGTCAAATTCACGCTGTCGGGCTTCAAGATTGCCAATTAGATCTTTCTTCGTCGACTGCTCTTCTTGAATTTTATCAGTGTTCGATTGACGTTCCGCATGCGCTTCCTTCTGCAGCCGCTGTACCGTGTCCCGTTCTGCTGCCAACTCCGCTTCCAGATGCACTATACGCTGAACGAGCGCTTTTTCCTCGGGTGACTGGTTGGAAGACATCCGTCGCGAGGACACAGATGACCGCCTCGACAACGTATCAGGGTGAGGCGACGCAGGCGAGCTGGGAAAGTCTAGGGAGAAGTTTCCGCTAGAAGGTCGACTCATGTGACTCTGGCGATGCAGGAGGTCTTCCAACTTCCTGATGCGACTCTCGGAGCCTTTCAGCCTCTCCTCAAGTTTTCCCTTTTCGTCTCTCAGGCTCCGAACCATGTCATCGCTGCGCAGCAAGAGGGAGCTTCGACTGAGATCAAAGAGACTGCCTTGTTTAAAAGCCTTGGATCTGCGGCGCTGTGATCGGGTAGGGGCATCCAACTCTTTGTAAAGCTGGCTAAGTTCCTGTACCAATTGGGCCATGCCAGTCTTCGATTTCAGCTCCTCGATGTATGACTCAATCTCCTTTCTGCTGACAACTGGCCATTCGTACTCCTGACCTCGAAGGTTGACTTCAATACCAGGCGTTGAGGTGTCCGAAGTCGATAAAAACTCCCCCATATTCTTCATCCACTTCTTCCGTCGCCGCTGCTCCTCCTCGCGAAAGACTGACATCTCTTCCGCTAGGGTCAATGAATCGTTTTTCATCTTGTCGCTGAACTCACGACGCCGCGCCGCCTCAATCAATACTGAGCCGTAGATCATGGGCATGTGGAACACGGAGTAAATAATGTCGAATGCGTCGCTTCGAAAATTGAGGTTGTTGATCTGAGTCTGCACATCAGCCAGCCGGGACTCGATCGACGAGATGAGCCGCATATGACTAGAAGCCGCTTTGATAGCGGCGTTATTCCGATGAACAGCTTCTTCCAGGCCAGTCTGGATTTCGCTACTGATGTCCAGCAGCGATGGGAGTAGATCTTTCGTGTGACTGAGCGCGAGTCTAGATATATTCGCCAGCGCCTTTTGATTATTGGATAGAGCCAGGACATGTTCGTAGTCGGATTGGATCTTCTTAGAGATAGTTTCAACTTCCTGCAGCAGACCCTCCACACCATCAACGCCGGCAGGGAGAGCATCATCCACAAGACGTTGTGTATCTGCTGCGATTGTACCAACGTTTTTCTCAATATTGCTAACCTCCTGTGCAAAACGCGACGACTCCTCCGGTGCTTCCGAGCCAGCTCTCTGCACTTCTCCCACATCCACATAGTTGCGTAGAGTTCCCATCAACTGATCTTCACGCTTTGTGGGCGTCGACGGACGTCCTAGAAAGTTGAAATCCTTCCGAGCCGGAATGTTTTCCAACGATGCAAGGGCCTTCCTCCAACCATCCAACGCGGCATGTTGATCCTTCAACAACCCGTTCGCCCATGTCTGCGCTTCCTGGAAGCGATGCTCCAAGGTCCCCACGTGAGTCTTGAGGTTTTCGAGAGCTACGCCGGCCGCTCGGTTGATGATGTCTGTGCGCTCATTGTGTTCATGAATCTGTTTATCCACGGTGGCGCAGCGCTCTGTGAGACTCAGGGCCCAGTCCTTTCTGGCACTATAAAGAGACTTCCATGCTTGTAGATCGTTCTGGTTCGTCAAGGTATCGGGAGGGTTCTCGGGAGTCAGTGGCTGTGGTGGAGGCAGTTCCGGAAGCTCGAAAGTGGTTGGCTCGCTGACATAGCGTCTATCATACACAAATATCTCGGTCTATCGATCAAGAAAATCAACACAAGTACAAGTAGTATTCATTTTCCATTGTGGCTGCTGAAACTGTATGCGTACCTCCGTGGCAAGTGTTTGGGCCTTGACATTCTTTCCCCGGGCAGTCATCAAGATCTGCCTTTGGGAGGGAATCGATGTGTTGCGAGTGATCCATGTTCGCAGTGCATCCGGGCTGAATCATGATTTCGATAGCATCAGCTCACTGTCATATTATCGGAGTCACTCCACGGCATAAGGGACTGGAAGTCCAAGGCTGACAGTCGAGCATCCAAAAGGCGGTGATGGTTGGAGATGAGGAAGGAAGCCGGGGTAAAAGGCGGCAGTGACGATAACTTACGAGGCCAAAGACACCGGATCAGCGAGAAAATGCTCACCAGTGTGAGCTATGTAGATGTGCAAAGACATCACCTCCTCACCAGGTGAGCAGCGGAGAGAGAAGCTGGTCGAGAACGTATTCGGGGGGGGAAGTTCAAGGGAAGGAATGCGGGAAGGGAGAAGATAAGGAAGGAAGAAGATGGAGAAGACGAGAAAGAAGACAGACGGAGCAGTAAATGAATTCCTTGTCAGTCCGTCTGACCGTTGTCGGTAGTCAAGCAAAGCAGCCAGACATACATAATAACAACCTGAAATGGTATAACTAACCAACGGAGCTAACCAAATAATCTCAGAAGCTCACTTGGTGTACATGAGTAGCTCTACACAGTACTCCGTACACATTTGACAAGGTGCCCCGGGACCGCCCACCGCACGGCCGGGAACTCCACCGCCCTTAAACCATCTGGACGCTCGTCGATCTCCAACTAGACTTTCCACCCCCCCCCCCAAATTTCGAAGGGTGAGCGAGACGAACGCTGCAAAAGAGAACAAGAAGTTTGGAACAAGTATACTACTGTAAATCCCACGAGAGCCTTTTCTCCGACTTGACTTGCCACGAGGTCTTATTCCATGACTTCTGCGAACCTTCGTTCCCTCCCTCACCTGGGCCCAGGTGAACTGGCCCTGTTAAATCTTGCGACCGATGACCCACGCGATACGGTATTGTTGTCGGACAAGGAGGCTTTGATCCTGCAGCTCTATCACAAGATCCAGGAACAGCAACTAGAAAAGGCACTACTAGAGCAAGGTATGTATACACGCATGAATCGTCCCTTTCTCTCCTTCCTTTCTTCGATTCTTTCCTTATTATCTGTGCTATTCATGTCTATTGATGTTTCAACAGACACGGAATTGCTCTCGGGTGACAATGCGGAAGAGGAACTAGCCAAAGCAGAACGTGAGCTGCTGGAGGCGAGAGCCACCTACACAGTCAGAAGGAAGGCTGTGGGAACCGTTCTTATGACTGATCCTGCCCTAAAAGCTGTTCATCTGAAGGCCACCACTCCAGCTGAAAGGTATGTTTTTCTCCCTTCGATATGGTCTTCTATGCTTCGCCAGTCCTAGCCTTCCATGTGTTGACCTTCCTGCCTCCGCTAACAAACAATAGGGCCCTTCATCGGCTAATCAACCGTCGCGATGTGCTGTCCACAGTACATGAGAATTTGAATGCCATGCATACGGCGTCGCTCCAAAAGCTTACTGGGTTGGAGGTAGAGAATGTACAGCTCCACCAGAAAAATCAAGAACTGGTCCGCGAGCTACTGTCCCTCACAGAGGATGATGAATCCTGGAGGGAGGATCTTGATGACCCGGAGCTCAAATCACAGCTAGAGCAATTGGAGGCAGATCACCGCAGAAGCAAAGCGAGATGGGAGGTCATGAAGAGCATCGCCAGCGCTATAGTTGTTGGGAGCGAAGTGAACTGGGCCGAAGACGAAACGCTCACCGCCCTGGTTCTAGATGAGTCTGACGAATAATGTACTATAACTACGAAGAAGAGTAGACTGGTTTTTCTGGCGTTTACTCGGGTCAGGCGTTATGGGTGGAAAGGATTATACCCTTGATGAATGGTGGATCGACAATCGAACAGTGCCAGATGACGGGTTATTTGGGGTTCCATGGCTCGCATGGGACTTGATGATCGATCAAAATGATACTCGAGTACATTTGACTGAGCGAGCAATCGGGGTCCGCTCCGCACGATAGCCATTGATTAATAAGAATTGGCAGGAAGATCTTAGAGAAGTCTGACGAAGTTGCAATGCTCGACCTAACTATTGGGGCTGAGAAAAAAAAGGCGCGAAGACTGAACTGGGTGGTGTGACCCACGTGACATCATGGCCCACAGGCCGAAGGCAAAGAAGCTACTAAGCCTTCGTCATACGGTGGGTGGGCTAGTTAGCCAATGCTTTGTGGTGGCAGCAGCAGCAGCAACTTAAGGCTTGAATATGGATGGGTAAGCAAACGGTGACCCCAAGCCGATAAAGTGAGGGAGCCTTGCAGTAGACAAGAAATAAAGGGCAAAAGGGAACTGACAGCTGGGTTGGCGGTAAGTTAGCAGTCACAGCTGCAGGTAAAGCAAAACGCCGCCAAAAACTGGCCAGCCTACGGAGTAGAAGTCTTGCATGTGAGCTGAGGAGATTTGCTTAGAGGAGGGGTGGGTGGAGGGAAGACAGAGAAAGATCTGAGCAAACCAGAAGAGAGCCCGGCGTTTCCACCTAGAACGGTAGAACCAAGCAACGGAGTCAATGACCCCTCACTATGGATTGAGAATTACTGAGAGGGCAGGGCGCAGCTGCCCCGATTACAATACACACATTCAGGTATTGTTAGACGTCGTTGGGAAGGTTGTACATAGTACGCGGATCCAGTATTTTGCCGATACTGTAAGTTTTCAATGGGTGTTGTTTGCAGTGCGGAATGCGGTGGCATTTGCACCGGTACTGTACAGGACGTCGCTGGAAGGTCTTCCTCTCTCTATGCAACCCTCAAGATAGATCACTGCAACCCACTGATATTTGTTTTTTTTTCTTTTTTTGGGGGGTAGCGACAACAACCGCCAATATTACCACAGGCTATTAGTGAGCAAGCTTGGGGGTTTCTGCCATATGACCGAGAAAGTCGTACAATTGGGGACCTTAACCCATTATAAGGAAGAGAAAGAGGAGTCCGTATGCTGCACTGTACGCTCAGGCTCCGCCTATTCCAAGCTTGCTGGTGCGAGAAAGGAGATTCTCTAAATATACAGGAATCTCTTGCAGGACTTCACCAATCTTAGTAGGATGTAACTGACCTGACTGAGTAGCAGCAGCAGCACTGGTCTTGGTCTGAAAACCGGACACAGAGCAATAGATGATCACCAAGTATGAGTGGTTTGTGACTGGTACAATAGCCAACGGAAGGAAAGTTGGCACTAATACTTGAAATAGGAGATTCCAATCAATAATACTTACATAGTAGGCATACTTGTGTAGTAACTCCGTCTCCCTGGACTCTGTCTCCCTGGAATTGGCAGGAAGAATTTTATGATTAATTTAGTTAACAATAGTGCTCCTGTTATGGCCTCTACATCACAGTCGCAGTACTCATTCCGCCGTTCATTGGAAGAAGCGGCCTACCCTCGAACAGGAGCACTTCTTAGTGCCACTAGACTCTGATACCACCTCCAGCACAGCAATGGGCCAGCCATCGTCCTCGTCTCAGTCAGAGGCATATTCATCGGCCTATAGAAGGTCAATTGTGCAAGGAGCGCTGTAGGGTATCCACATCATACGACTTCTATATAGCGCTTGGTCCATGTAGAGTAGATACATCAAGCATCAGAATGCCTTTGAGGCAGTTTTGTTCGGGGTAAATAGCACAATAATAATACTGCTAGTGATATCCAGGGCCGGCACCAGTTGAGTTGACAAAATCTGGACTACTCTCGATAACTTAGCGCCAGTGAATTGAACGCGGGAGATGGGTGAGAGCTGCGCGCGAAGAGCATCCTCGTCTAGTACTCTGCAGGGCTAGATCTTACCCTGAGGGAGGCAGGCACAGGATTTATGGCAGGATAACGCGGAGAATTATCGACTCAGATGTGATCTCTTGATTGAGATCGCGCCAGCTCGGCCGTGGTTCCTTCCACCGAGGTACAGTACAAAAGACAGCCCAGGTCATTCATGTCTTTGTGCAGAGGTCAGTTACAAACAGATCGAAATGGCCCAATAATGCAGCTGCCTATGTATATGTGAACATCCTTTCAAAGAGATGGAAGCCCAAAATGTTTTCAAAATTAAATAGCTATTCAGAGACGCGCCTTCGCAGATCCTCCCCAGAATAGATGTACCGACGAAGGAACTTCCTTCAATGGCGCGGCATTTGGGGGCAGTCGCCGGCGCGCAGTGTTGAAGTACGACTGAGCGCTGCCAGAATAGTAGCAGTTGTTCCCTGAGCGCCTGCCCCGGATGTACGATACTCACTGTACTGCCCCGGTAGCTTCCAGCTTGCAGTATGGTAACTTGCCCGTTACTAGTGGAGTGGTATCTATCGGATACAGCATGGAGCGACCTCTCTTTCCATCGTGTTACGGCTATGTATTTTACCCAAGGTCAATTACCCACCCCATAGTGGCGCACAATGGGGTATGAGCAGTGTACGGTATTAGATCATACTGGGGGTAACGGTGGAGCTGCATCAGGTGCAATGCTCAGCACCCACCTTTTTTTTCTTCAGTCGGCAACTGAAGCATGGATTGGACCATGGGAGAGGGAGTCATTTAGATTTGCTGAAAGGAGCACTGCAACCCTGAAGGATAGACCACTCAAGTTGCCCAGACAAAGCGTGAAAGGTCAGCCAGAATGTCGCAGCGGAGAATCGCAGGAGGGGGAGGAGAAGAAAATGACAAGACATGACGGGTATGGAACCATACGGACCATTCTCCAGCAACCAACCAGCCAGTCGCAGCCGGCAGAGAGCGGTTGTTTCCCTTGCTGTGCTGCCCACTTCCCCCCTTCCCAAGAGTGAGTGAGGGTGAGGTAGGAAGAGTAGGTAGGTAATGGCCCGCCCGCCTTCCCGTCTTTCTCCCTCTCTCTCTCTTTTCCTACTACTACTACTCTCCCCTCTCTCCCTCCCTCTCTCACACTCACTCCCTCACTCACCACTCACTCACTCACTCTACCTGCTCTCCTCCCATACAATTCTTTCTCCCCATACAAAAAAGTACTGCATATAACCGCATCGGTAGGTTCCATATCAACATTCCGCCTTTCGAGCACTGTTTCTTCAACACCAACACAAATTGATTTTCTTTCTCAATCCCGTTTTCTTCCATCCTGATTGCTTTTTCAAATCATCATTTCCCTTGGTTTTCCCTCCGCAGTTGCGCGATCTCGCTGTCGCGCCCTCTGCAACAGCACTCTTATAGTTCCTAACAGCCCTGATCTACCCCCAAGCTCTTTTAATTTCCCCACAGTCTTTTCTTGCCAATTCTGTTTCCTTGTCGTTCGCCTTCTGCCTGACTTGGTTGTCAGGTAAGTCACTGTTCTGCGCGACTTGCCCTCTTGGTGTCGTTTGGCTTGCGACCGCAATCGTTCTTGTTTGGGCGCGCGCAAACCACGGGTTGACACAACACTTCCCTCCACCTTCTAGCTTACGCGCTCTGCAATCCCCCTCCTTACTTGTCTGGTTCTCTCTTTCCGCCGTTCTGTTTGCATCAAGTCATCTGTCTGGCACCTCTCTGCTGTCCTTGCGAGCCTTTCATCCGCCAAGTTCAACAGTCCCCAACTTCCAGGCTAATTTTCACGTCTGCAGACTTCATTTTCAAAATGCCCAAGGAGAAGGCTACTCGCAAGACCAAGGGTCGTGGTGTTGAGCGTAAGAAGAAGGGTAAGGATCCACCTCTTCATCGATAATGCTGTGGCTGACTTGTTGCTCTAGACCCCAACGCTCCCAAGCGTGGTCTCTCCGCCTACATGTTCTTCGCCAACGACAACCGCGAGAAGGTTCGCGAGGAGAACCCTGGTATCTCCTTCGGTACGTACTGCTTGCGATCTACGCGATGGCATGCACCCTGTCGCTAACAGTCCTCTAGGTCAGGTTGGTAAGATGCTCGGAGAGCGGTGGAAGGCCCTGAGCGATTCGGAGCGCCGCCCCTACGAGGATAAGGCTGCTGCCGACAAGAAGCGTTACGAAGACGAGAAGGCCAGCTACAACGTAAGTTGTCATGAACTCCGTATGCTCTGAAATATATTAACCGTGTTGGTGTAGGCTGCCGCCGAAGAGGATGAGGAGTCCTCTTAAAGCTCCCCAATCCCCTAGGTCTTATTGCGTGGACCCAACGGCGTTTGTGTCTTTTCTCGTGTGACGTGTATTTGTGGCTTTCTATATTCTATTATCTATTCAACGGCTTCTGGTACGGATGACGGTGGTTGTTTCCTCTCCTTGCTTTTCTGTTCATGAAGGATATCAATGGGAAATGTTTACTGTACGGACTGGCGGCTTTCGGACACATTTGACTTGAATAAGGGAGTCCCGGCGCTGAATCTCAGAGCTGTAAGGAAACCTGATTTGAGCGTCTATGATGAAATATCGAAATGAAGCTGCAGAAAGTGTGAGGCCAGCAAAGACTGCTGTATAATAGCTTAATCAACCGCATCCTCACCTGAGCGACTCTGGATCCCGTCCCCTTTTCTCTAATCTTTTTTGTTTTCGATCAGTCTATTGATGAATGAGAATTCCTGTGAGGTTATGTAAGGATATAAATCCAGATCTAGTACGTAGAGTGCTTCCATGGGGGGGGGGGGGGGCTGCTCTGGTATTTCTGGAAGGACTTTCCTTGCAGGGGTTGGCCCAAGCTCCCGGCGGTGACGCGGAGCGACAGCTTGTTTACGTGTTCGACGCGTCCAGTTCTCCGATAAGCCCGGGGGGCGTAGAGCCTTGGAGCCTTGGAGCCTGAATTAACTTTGTGCCTCAGGCCAATAAAAACAACGGCATGTGTCATATGGATGGTGTGAACGAGTCATCTCGATCAAAAAGTGCTGGTCAACTTATGGCTCACAGTCAAGTCTTCATATACTTGGTGGATGCTTGGCTAGGAGTATTTTCATGTACATCTGCCCAAAGCTACGGCATATCAGGTCAAGGATATATGTGCCTGACACGGGCGTTTGCCAGAGATAACTTCAATATAGTCAGTCCTATGCAGTACATACTTCGCTAATTACAACCACACTTGCCACCACTTGTTCTGCTTGAGAGTATATTGTATATCTTTTCCTTGATTCATTCTAGCTGCTAATGTTATCTTCGAAACATAGTCGATAAAACCATCATTCTTGGTATTATTCATAACTGCTACGCAAATAGTAGCTATTGACAGTCACGCCTGTCTGATGCGAGTGACATCAGGCAATTATTCTGGATGAGCTCCCCAATATCGATCTGCTTGACAGTACCGTTGGAAGTTCAGGATGCAGTGCAATGAAGCCGTCAGCCCCAAACTTTAACAACGATTAGATTTCCGAGTCTTCTTCCTCGAGGATCCCGTGACTGCCAGGGTTCTCGGAGTCTCTCTCTCTCTCCCCTCTTTCCTAGTAAGGTTTCTGTTTCCCCTCATCTGCAAGTCAGACAGACAGACAGACAGACACTAATTACTACCGTGGTTAATTGAGTTGCTCCGGCGAATTTTCCTTGTTCACCAAGTACTCTGTACTATGTCAGTCATGGCCAATATGACATACAGACAGACCGAGCAGTATCCTCGGCACTGTTTGCTGCAAAAAGGGTATGAAGGCACTCCTTGTCATCTCTTGCATCAAAAACTCCCATCGCCTGTGCTCGTATCACCACAACCCCCCACCCAGGATAAAGTCACACCACGGCCTTCTCGTCTACCTCCTCGATTTTTCCCCTCCACCATCGCTCCATCCCGCCATGCATTTCCACCGCCCGTTATTGGCTTTTGCCCGTCGCCCCCGCATGAACACGTCAATGGTGCCCCCCCCCCCCCCCTCTCCCCTCGAGGTTGGAGGCACGTTACTATCGTTAAACAAGACAGACACAATCAATTTGTCGGTCTGTCGGTCTCGGGCTTCTTCTTCTGACCCTCTGGCTTCTGGCTTCTGGCTTCTGGCTCCAGTGCCGGTCTGTCCGTCCGACAGAGAGCCGCAAACTAACTACCTACCTAGTAACTATGGGCTGCTGCCATTCCGTCCGGCAACAAACTAGACTGAACTTAGCCCCACCCGCGGGTGATTCTTGTTCTGCATTCCTTCCTTTGTGCGGGTGATCGAGATCAAAACCCTGTCTGACTTGAATTTGACCCTCTCTCTCTCTCGCCTTCCTGTGTGTTTACGCGCTGGTGCTGGTGCTGGTGCCTTCTGCGTGTGGTGCAAGTTGCACCTTTGCCTGGTCAATCCTTGGGGCGAGACTCCAATCCATTCATCTATTTCCTATGGTCTGCGTCCATCTATCTGTTTGGTGAGACTCCAGCCGACATGCATCCTAGGGACGATCCCACCGATAAGAGGTTCTCTTTCTGACTCCAGCATTGCAGTCTACTGAGTTGTCTCCCACTGCCCCTCTCCTGGTGTATCTACTACCCTATCACGTAATTCTCCTGGGACCCCGTTGATCTCCCTTACTGCGATCTCCATATAAATTCGTCAAGCAGCTATAGTGAGCCGCGTGTGTCTGTCTGGTGGGAGTCTATCTCCTCCTTGTCTCTCGACCTCAACCATACAACGAAAGATCCCCATAAGCATACATGCAGGGCCTTACCATAGGTGACCATCACTATGGCTCTGCGTACATCTGCCGACAATGCAGAGGACGTGGCCGCTGGCTTTCGTCTTTTCCGCGACCCCCTGCCGGAGCATGCAACGGAGATCACCAGCCTGATCGCCGATCTCTATGCAATTAGCACCTCCCTCAAGAATCTCGAGGACTTGGCCCGCAATCGCAACTACCGGCGCAACCTGCACGCCGTCCAGCCCGACCTAGAACTGGTTCGGGCAAGCTTGAAGTATACGCTCGAAGATGTTGTCGACTTCTTCGGAGACCTGGAGGCGCGGAGAGGCTCCAGCCGGGAGGTCTACAAACGGACATGGGTTGACCTCTGTACTTTCTTCCGGGAGGAGTCGCACGACTCACTGTCTACCCGTCTAGCCAAGTATAAGGCCTTTCTGTCCGATTTGGAGGCTCTAATGAAGGGGTTCGTTACTCCACGTGGCTCTCGCCGGAAATGCAGGTCAATTGACAAATGCGTCTGTAATCATGTAGTAATGCACCCGATGATCGACTGATGTCCTCTCTGCGACACAATCTCAAAGGTTTGTTGGGGCAGCAGGAATCCCAGGTTGCGTCGCACTTGGGCTCCCTGTCTCTGAGTTCCCCCTCGTCGAGCAGCAGCAGTAGCAGCAGCAACACCAGTGGCGAACCCGGCAGTCCGGTCAGTGATCGCAGACCCCGCACCCGACGATCCTACGAGCGAGCTCGTCCGTCTCACCTAGGGCCTCAGTCGCCCACCTCCGCTTCATCTGGCACCTTCTCGGATATCCCTCCCTCGGCTCCAGATGCACCGGGCTCGCCTTCCACTACGACTGCCACGAGCCAATCGACCATTTCCAGTGTACTTGGCGAGCATTGGGCGAGACGGGTGTTCCTAGATGATCACCCGCAAACGCCTATCCCCTATATTGGCGAAAGGTCAATACAATAGCTTCAGTAGTGCAGACATCCGCTAACAGGCTGCAGCTCCAAGTGTCTGGGTGAACCCAAGTCCAATCCGAAAGCATGGCTGGACGGCGAGGGATTCGAGGAGCTGTTACAGTTGTGAGTTGCACATGCGCCTGATATTGGTCGGTGGAAAGACTGACGGACGGTAGAGCGTTCAATAGCGAGACCGATCTCAGAGTATGCTTCTATTTACGAGATGAAGACCATCGTGCACGCATTGTGTGCAAAGCACGCCGTTCTGCGCGGTCGAACGAATATTTCATCCTGCCACTGAATATGCTGGAGATCGTCCGTGTCGGATCCTGTCTACAGTTGTGCCGGCGCCGTCGTGGGGGCAGCGAACTGGTTCTGTGGGCCAACCTCAAATTCAGCACCATCGAGCGTACGTGCGATAAGTGGGTGTTCTACTGGGCTCTACTAACGCAAAAGCAGAGATGGTGATTTTCTTCTGCACCTTTTTGGCACTTCGATCGCAAGATTCCGGGCGTCCTGTGGCTGTGGAGAGTATCCGCGATTACGAGCTGGCGCAAGAGGAAGAACTCTTTGGAGGGTAAGGTCACCCCTGTCCAGTGGACGGCGATAGGCGATAACCGAGCCAGCCAGACAAATTGTGGACGACGATTTCCTCCATGCATTGCGTGTTTACCGGGACGAGGTGTCCGGCGCTGTACGGCTCCAGGCATCGGTCCACAAGGGGGAGTTGAAGCGGTAAGTCTCAACGAATTGTGCCATACGGCCGTCTGGCTGAATGATCTAGATCCCCCGTCTGGACGGCTTTTATCACAGACCACATCGGGACTCGCGGCTGGATTCGCCGTACTGAGCCTAAGGTTGTGGTGTTGAAGGAGATACGCCGGAGTATCTTCACGTTCCCTGATTATACACCCCCTCAGACAACTCGAGGAGAGCATGTCCTGAAATTCACCCATCGTTCGGGTACGTACCAGCGATCATTTCATGTGTAGAAGAAACTAACTTTGGTTAGATGCGCAAGGCTTTTATGAGACTATGACTGAGCTCGCGCGTGGATGACACATTTACTGCCAAAAGAAAAATGAACACGATTGATGACTGATGATTGATGACCACTAAGAGTTAATCCGGAGGTTTCCTGTTTGTTGTCGGAATGACCGTGGCGGTGGCATGTGCTATATATACATAAGCTGGTCTCAGACCAGGCAATGATACCCCTTGATTACTCCGTGGACCTAAATTCTTTTAATGTCATGAATGATTAAGAGTTCGATGGGTATCTCTAGAGAAGCAAACACGCAACGCCAGCACGAATGCGAAATTTGGGTGGAAGTAATTCATACCACGCCGACGTCGCCCAACCCGGCCAGGAACATCTCAGCGCGCCTCTTGGACCTCAACTCGTCGACCTTGACGCGCCTCTCGCTCCTCGCCTCCTCCCTCCTCGCGCGCCGCTGCTGCTTCTCCTCCCTCTCCCTCTGCGTCTCCTCCCTCGCGGCGCGCAGCTCCTCCATCTGCCGCCTCCTAGTTTCCTCATCCCTGGCGAAGGCATAGAACCCGGTGCCGCGGTTCCTGACCTCGGCCTCGGCATCGTAATGGGTCTCCTCCGGCGGGGTCACCGAGCGATCCCGGCGTTTCGCCAGGTAGGCCATGTGCGCCGCGACGTTCGCATCCGGGTTGAACGCCTCGCTCTGCACAGTCTCCCCATAGATGAGGTTCTCCGGCCGACGGGGCCGCCACCTCTCCCCGGCCTCGTGACGGCCATCTTCCTCCTCCTCCAGCTGCTGCTTCTTCACTCTGGCCGCTTCCGCCGCCTCAGCCCTGGTCCCGCGCCTGGTCCGCCCCAATTCATCCTCGTAGGAGACAATCGACGCATCATCCCTATCCCTTCCCTCCCCCTCCTCACCCTCCTCACCCTCCTCATCAGAACGAGAATGCATATCCGCCCACTTCCGATCAAAATCCACCAACCCCTCCCTCTCCCTCCGCCTCAACCTCCTCAAATACCTCTCCCCTTCCCCCTCTCCTGCCCTATCACCACCATCACCCTCCGACTCAGAATCACTCCCACCAAGATACAACCCCCTCCTCAAATCCTCATACACCCTGGCCTTCTCCTGCATCCGCCGCTTCGACCGCTGCAGCACCGCCTCGTCCACCCGTCCCCCCAGATCCCGGGTTCGCTGGTGCACCTGCGCAGTTCCACCGGAGAGTGTCGTCATCGCATCGCTCTCGTTCACCACAAGATCCTGCGCCGCGCGCTTCTGCGCCCCGCGATTCGGGCGGGCGAACAACCCCTCGGAAGCGTCTTTGGATTTGGAGGGGCGGGGGCGGCCGGTTGACGTGGACGTCGAAGATCCCGGATCCCGGGCGGCGATGAGGTTGGACAGGGTGGTTGTGAAGGCTAGGGTTGAGGAGGAGGGGGCGGCTGGCTGAGAGGAGGTTTGCTTTTTGCGTGGCGGGTGGCCGTAGAGGTTTTGGTTGGACATTTTTGTTTCCTCTTCGGTTTCGGGGGGGGTGGGAATTTGGTGTTATCGTGGTGGTGGGTTGTATGCTTGGTGGTTGGTGGTTATGTTGGTCGAAAATAGAGGGTAGGAAGGTAAGCCTGGAGGTAACTTGGAAGCAATGTTGAGGGCCGGCCGCAGTGTGGATAGTAAGGATACTATCCGATAAGACCTACCTGCAGTTGACTAGGTAGTCTAAGTCGCGAAGGTGCTTGGGTCTCCGCGGAGTGCACTATTCCTAATTGAGCGGGAATTTTCTGCCACCGCTAAAACCTACCACTCTGCCCCACCTTTTTTCGGGGCCTGTTCATAGCCGAAATCTGGATTCCGGCCGCGAGGTCGCGAGCGTTCTGCCGCTTTAGGCGGTGGAGCTCCGGTACATTTTCATTGGCTGAAATAGGACCGTCTTTTTGACCGCTCTCTGCGCCAGAACGGTGGCGACCTCGCAGGCCGCAGCCCCCGGAAAAAAGTGGGGCAGAGTGGTAGGTTTTGGCGGTGGCAGAAAATGGTCCCAGGTGCCTCGGTTCCCCATTCATGAGGAAGTGTGTGATGCTCGGTTTTTATGTATACTAACGCTGCAGAAGGGCATTCATGACAGACAATATCTGCTTATCCGAGCGACGAATAAGCTCTATGCTTTATACTCTCCAAAGAGTCTAGTATGGGTTCTAGCATGTAGACTGTGTCACCCCCGCAGATATGCCTTGACTGCCTCCCCCCAGACCGCCCCCCTCTTATACCACCACATCTCCGGCACACTGCCCCCCTTCAACCCATCGATCGCCTGAGCCAGCTCCTCGCCTAATCCCTCCTCCTTGACCGTCCGGACCGGGTAAGTATACGTATGGAAGGTGAACACCAGCGTCTTGGTCTCGGGCAGACGATGGAGCGTCTGGCGCTCGCAGCGCAGGAAGGTCTACAACCGGGGTTAGCAGCACATCTCATGCCCGGATAACACAACACAACACAACAAAAGACAACGAGAGCCGACATTCGGTAGGAAAGGGGTGAATGCACAGAACATACATCATCAACATTCAACTCATCCGATGCCATCACCCCATCATCCTTCCCGCCCTTTTCCCCACCATCATTCGTAGTATCTCCATGAATGCCCCCGAACGCAGCAAATAGCTCCGTCCCCGTCGTCACACTCCAATTCACCCGCTGCACGAACCGCCCGACCTCCAGCCTGGCAAAGAATCGGTCCATACTCTTCTCCAGCTTCTCCTTGTACCGCGGCACCGGGTCGTGGATGGCGGAGAGCGTGCAGCCGAGTTTCTCCCGCGTGTCGAATCCCGCCGGGTAGAAGGTCGTGTACGCTTGTAGGGTGTATTCGTCTTCCTCCGCCTTTTTCTCTTCATCACCATACGGTGGACCCACCTGCGAGGTAGGCAGTAGGATCAGGAAGTCCTCGTCCACGACCGTTCCCAGCGTGGTAAGGGCTTCGCGGGCGGAGGTGGGGCATTTGGTCGGGATGGAATGATTGGTGATTCTGTTGAGGAGGTATTTCGGTTTCTTCTCGGTCGTCGCCGTCGGTTCGGCTAGACCACCCTCCTCTTTCTCGTCACTCGTGCTGCTTTCTGGGCCTAGACTGCTGCTGCTTCTGCTGCTGCTGCCAGGAGAGTCAATCAAATCGAAGACCCCCGGATACCTGGTGGGGAGGTATACGCCGAGAACAAACTCGTAAAGCTCGCGGACGGCAGAGTGGGCGAGGCTGCCCTCTGTTTCGGCAGTGGGTGTGACGCCGACCACGACGGAAGGGTATTTCGAAAGCAGGGACTGGCGGTAGGCGAGCCGGGATCTGTAGGTCTTGTCGATTGGGATGAGGGTGGAGAAGTCGAGGTTCGAGAGGGCTGTTTTGTCGGGGGTGGGTTAGTTTGTCGTATAATGATGGGGAATGAGGTTGGTCTTGGGTTAATGACAACAACAACGGGCCATAGGAGATATAGTCCATTATAGATCGGGTGGGTGCATTGGAGCGAGGCGTAGAGCGTCCCTGAGACGCTGCCCTGTGCAACAGGAATAGGCGACGAACGAGGACAGAGAAAGGTTTGCACGGGGAGACTCGGAGCTCCATACCCATTGTGAGATGATACTTCGCCTTGAAAGGCCGGAACTGCAGTGGCTCGGTAGTCTCCCAGTCGAAGGAGTGGAGAGGCTCAATGGGCGGGTACCCAGCTTTCTCTGCTTCCGAGATGACATTGTCAATGGAGTTTGGCTGGCCCTGGGCATTCTTCAGTCAGTTCCAATATCACGGTACATAATCAGAAGGACATACTCGGGTGAATCGTCCAAAGAGCCAGAGGGTGAGTACAAGGAAGACGATTGGGAAGGGATTCCGCTCGACGTATAGTATGCTGGCATCAACGGTTGATGTGAGAAGGTCCATTGTCCGACCTCTTGGGTATACTAGTATTTCTGGTAAAACCGGCTGAAAGAGTAGGAAGAATTGAGGAGCCTGGAGAGATGTAGGAGCGGTGCGAGTAAAGTGCACTGCAGTACTTCGATAGAAGTACTTCCACGTTATCATGCGGCAGCCCAGATAGTACTGGCACCAGTACCTTATCCTCTCATGAATGGCATACTATCGCGGGCTGCCATTGGTGGGGATCCCCGCTGTATGCTGATTGCTCAATCGGCCGATAGTACCTTAGTCACGATATAAATTGGAACCTGATAATTTAGATGAGGACAAATCTTCAACGCAGAAATCAGAGTACATACAGGGTATCAATATACACAGACGAATTTCAAACATGTCGCCAGTCCCTTTGTCCATACATGTAGACCTCCCTCCAACTACCACCTGAGCACAGGCACTGCATCCATCCACCTTCCCTTCCACGCGGTAGCCAATCGGCAGTAAGAGTATTCATCCAAGGCAGCATCAATCCAAAATTCGACAAGACTAAAGGAAAATAGCCTCACCGGGAGGCGAGCAGAGCTCTCTCAACACAGAAGCGGGGAGACGCCAAATGCGCTCAGGTGTCCTCGTCTCCCTCATGCCTCCCCCCTCTGCTTCGTAATTTCTCCACGCTTGCAATCCCCCCATCTCCGATGTCATTGACTAGGGCCCCCGTCCCCAGCCCCAGGACCCTAGGCTGCCCATCCGGCCTCTCGTTCAAGCTCGGGGCTCGAGGTCGCTGCTTACCCCGCGCTCGTCCGCCGATGAGGGGGAATTCATATTTCACCATCCGCCAAATGTACAGACAGATGTCGAAGACCAGTAATGTAGCCCAAGGGAGTATAGTGACAAAGCCGAGGAATATCTATGGTGTGACCAATCGACCGTTAGTGGTAAGCTTGGAAGGAAAAGCGGTAAGCAAGGAGAGGGAGGGGATAGGCGGGGCGTGAGACGGACAAAGACTCGCACAAGCCAATTCTCAATATAGAGAAAGTCGGACGGAAGAAGTGAGTACCATGCCATGGTAGTGTATGTCAAGGCTTGGAGATTGATACGGGTAGGAATATGGGTTGTTGTAGAAGAAAGGGAGAGACGCGGAAGGTAATGGAAGGTGGTGTATTGTTCGTTTCAGTCGATTGGTGGTGGTGGGATTGCTAGAAGTCCGGCGAGCATCGGCGTGGGTACGGCACGAGTTGGCAAACAGGTACAGCAGTCGCCAGGACTTGTCCGCTGGCTGTGGATTATATATTCCCTGTTGTGTTGACTGAGGTATGGCGAAGCTGTTTGTATTCGATCACAGGGAATCCGACGGCACCCGGAGTCCGGCTCGGCACTTAGGAGTGGTGGGTGCAAGCAGCAAGGTACGTGGACCGATGGTCAGTTGTTGCAGGAGAAGTCGGTCGGGCAGTCACGGAGCTACCTTGACTGGAGATGAACAACCACATTGCAGCCCCGTGAAGCAATCGAAGCTGGTTGGTGTGAGAGAGGAGAGAGGGGAAGTTGATGACGGATGATGGACGAAGCGTGAAAGCCGATGAGCTGCGGGTCTGGCCATTAATTGGTCAGCACCCTCGGTTCCTGAGGAGCCTTCCAAGTTCCTATCGGGCATAGTACGAGTACTTCCATGCACTTAGTAGGCTATTTGTTATTACTGTGGTAATGAACCAAAACACATCTCGTCCACTTTTGCATGTGATCCGGAACACCGTATTTACACACAAATCTTCTAATCATGTAAATATGTACAGCTCTTGCTCAAATGCTTAAACAAAAACAAAATAGTCGTGGGCACGTTGCTTCCGTTACTCCTGCCTCCTCGCAAGAGAAAGCCCAAAAATCCCATCCCAAAGTCTAATATATCAACGATCTGGTAATCGTTGTCGCTCCAAAACAATAAAAAAAATCATATCTGCACACAGCGCCTAGTGTGGCATTCGGTAGTGCTCATACGAGGTGAAAGTGGGATCATCCTGCTCGACAGGACCGTAACCTCTCGTCCGCCAGCGGTCCAATGGCGTGGCCATCTCCGGAACTGCCGGCTGTTGTGCTTGAGCAAGCAGCTCCGTCTCACTCTCGTTACGCTGATGATAGAGTCCGCTGCCTCCTATGGGTGCGGGAACACGGAAGGCAGGATGAATGTGGTCGTAGGCGGTCGGATCGTAGCTATCGTGCGGTTTCAACCCGGAGAGCGACGGCACCGATGGGGTCGGAGACGAGGCGCGCGAAGAGGTGGGCGACCACTCACCCAATGCACTCCGGGGCGTATGCGAGCGTTCGGTAAACACATCGTCCGGACGACCATAGATACCGCCGCCAAACTCGTCCCTGAAATCCGGCCGGTCCTTGTAATAGGAGAAGTCTAGGTGATTTTCGGGGACGACTTCGAAAGGCGCCGGGCCCGTAGCGTCCATCATAGATTTTCCCGGGTGAGCCGTCGACATGGCATCCATGGCAATGTCTGAGTATTCACCCTCGGCGTCGGCAGTTCCCAGACGACCGCTGTAGATACGCTTCAGCGCTTCCGCAGCCCGGGCGTGCACCATCGGGGTGATGAGGGGCTTGTAAAGGGCGGGATGGCCGAACTTGGCGTTTAGCCGCTCAGATGCCTTCTTGTTCGGCTTGCTGACTGCCAGGGCCTCGGCATCCGTGAGGTTCGCGCGGTTGTAGTAGGTGATGTCAGAATCGAACTTCCTCATACAATAATACTTGAAGCCGAGCATCATGAACGGCAGCGGAACCACACAATAAACCATGGTCCAAGTACCCTTGGCTTTAGCCACAAAGGCAATGACGATGTTGGACAAGATAACCGCAAAAACCATGCGATTGAACAGAACGCGCCAGAATTGACCGCCAGACTCGGTCTTGGTCACAAACACATACATCAGCATGTACTTCTTCATCATTGCATCCAGCCCAAAGTAGAGCGCGGTGACGGGTAGCACAATGGGCTGTAGTGTCGCAAAGCAAAGCGCGACGGTAGCGTAGAAGAGGAAGTAGTTGTAATACATGGCATACTCGAAAGATGGCGGAGCCGTCCACTCAATAGCCTGGCGAGGGGTAGGCGAGAGGAACGTCTTGGAGAACCATACCCAGAAGACAGTAACCAACTGAACCAGATCAATGGTGGCACCCAGATTTCGCTGCAATAAATAGGTCACCCAGAAGGGAGACACGTTGCACAGGGCACTCACGATCTTCTCATAGAACTGTCCATCCTGGATGGCTTTCCAAGCGTTGTTGTCGGTCTTCTGGGCATCGATGACAGCGGAGACGAATGTCCAGGCGGCAGCGAAGAGGGAATAAACGATAAGGTTGTTGAATACAAAGAACGAGTAAAGCCGGCCAAGCACATGACGCTCGCGAGAGGTCTTGGTGACGTCGCCCGCCCGAATTGCCAGCCGTCGGAAGATGACGGGCAGAACGAGGTAGACAAGGGATGTGATGGCGGGAGACAAGATACCCTGAACTGCGGCCCAGACCTTGGGATTGGCATCGAGCGATGTCTGGAATGCGGGCCACACTAGACCCAGGTTCGACAAGTTGGACAGAAAGATGGCAATCAATCCGTTAGGAACAATGTACACGAATGTCAAGAGCGACACCCAGATCGCATTGAGGAATCGTTTCCACCTCCGTGCGCCCTTGGACAGAGGGAGGTTCTCCCAGATCAGATCGTCCGGGCGAGTGGCCAGGGCGATGGTCGTGCCTTGAGGGTGCTTGTTGCGTGCGTTGTATGCCACAGCGTGCGCATGCTCGATCATATCCCAGCTGACGAAGCCAAAAGGCATGGCGTTGCGTCTATCTATAGAAGACCGAACATGTCGGATCTCTTCTTCCAATCGCTGAATACGACTTGTCAAGTAATCAATGGCATCCACCTTGCCGCTCGGGTGCTCACTTCTATCTTTCCGGTGCGGGGTCATGGTCGGGCGATTGGGCGGGAGTCGATCGGGTCGCTTGAGATACTTGGCCAGCACAGATTCGAGTTGTCGCACCGTTTCGTCGTGTTCCTTGATCAGACGGGGTAGATCCTTCACGTTACGGCCAATGGCGGCTCGAGGGAGGGCAGCTGTCGGGTTGACTTCGTCCGTCAAACGCAGAACGCCTTCGTCCGAACGTGCTGACGGTGGGATATCGGTGATCTATTGTATAACGTGGTTAGTGGGTTTGTCAGTGAGAGCTGATTCGCGGGACCGTCACACACCATCAGTGTACGCGCATGGAGACTGCGCTGATAATCGGCACTCTGGAAGTATTTTCTGCGCAAAGACAAAACACCCTTGTAGTTCCGCCACAAGAAGAAGACCACGATGATATCGAACAGCCAGGCGCAAACAACCTGACCCCAGATAGCGTCAGTGCTGACATAGAGCGGGGTCATCGTCGCAAAGGCGCCGAACTGGGAGACGGTGTTGCCTTGGCTCTGCGTGAGGTTCAAAGGAATCATGACACCGCAACCGATGATGCTCAGGAAGATGAAAATGTTCCGGCACATTTTGGCAAATCGGATAAACATGGTGGCATCGAGCCCGACACAGTCGACTAAATCGGGCTCTTTGGTGCGCACCACGGGCTTGAGCCACGCAAAGAAGCTCTTTCCCACCGGTGGCGGGGTATGTCTTTTGTCCGCATGCTTGACTTTGGGCGCGTAGACGAGGGAGTGACGAGGTCTGAAGAGCGAGAATAGGAGGGCAAGGAGGACGCTGAAGGCGGCGGAGGTGGCCAACGAGGCCCAGACGGCGTTGATTTGAAACTGTTGTGCTCCTTAGTTATGCATTGAGGGAAAGCGGTTGTATGGGGCAAGCAGAACATACGGCGGATTTGAAAGGGTTCTGGATGAGTTTGAGAAATTGATCCGTGGAATCGTCGCGCCGCCAGAGAGCGCTAGACTGCATGGTGTTTATTGAAGCCGAGGCGGCATCGACGGAGCGAAGCCAAGGCAGAGGAGAGATAGGTGGCGGAGTGAGCGAGCGCGCGACAAGGAAGGATAAAAAGAAGCGAACGACTGTTGAACGGCAATCGACAGGAGGAGTGCAAGTGAGTGAGGCGAAGAATGTGAAACCGAACCAGGAAAATCAGAGATGGGCGTGGGAAGGCGAACAAGAGGAGAGAGAAAGATAATCAGCGATGATGGAGAAGTGGATTCGCGTTTGGAGGCGGGTCTCGACCACCACCACTAGTCGCACTCTAGTCTAGCGGTTGACAATCTGCTCTGAACGACAACGCTGCTGAGGGATGGGTTTCTCGTGGATTTGATTTGCAATCCAGTGGAGGATTGAACCTTGACTTCCTGGGGGAAATGGGGAGGGAACAAACGAGCGTCAAGAATGGGCCGGACTGGACTCTCCCTTGACGTACCTCCAGTACGTATCAATGAATTCCACTTCTGACAGTCGGAGGTCGAGATGCGCACTGCATACGTTGACTGAGTGGAGCCGGATGAGTGTTTCTCACTGGTACTAGTAATGTGTTAGAACTTAGCTAGCACCAGAAGTGGTGGTACATGTACACTTGCAGTCTAAAGAGTGCAGAGTACTTGTTTCTCCTGGAAATCAAATTGAAAGGAGTCAATGCACTATGTAAGTTATCTATCAGATTGTTTCTTCCTCCTCGTTCCTCCCGGACTGCACGCTTTGTTTACCCGCCCGACGTGGTTCAGCGTCTCAGACGGATCCAAGTGAGCCCTCAGGGCGACCCAAAAAGCAGCCAAAGAAGAAAAATGAAAACCAAACAACGAGAGTAACTCCACTGGGGTTTCTATGGTTGGATGAGGATGCAAGAGATGGTCGGGCTATTATCCTGGTGGACCAACCAATGCGGGCTTAGGGTAGCATGTCTCAGACCCTCGGGTCCCCCGGTACGCAAAACTCGGTTTGACTGACCACGACCGGTATGTTGGATACCATGGCAGAGCCACGCTCAACCCTTCTTTCAGCCACTCCTTACCGTACCCATACTAACCTATGTACGTACCACAGTGGTGTGGCTAGTGTGCACCCCATTGTGGCACACCGAAATGGAATAATGTCGAGGAAAAAAAAGACTCGGGGTCCAATCGAAGTCGGGTCCTGCTGTCAATTGCCGGCAAATGGAGTCATCTGCTTCTATTCTGGGTCACGGCAGTCAAGCCACAGGACCCTTCTAACGGCCTGATCGGATGACTACTTTGCCTACAGTAGGTAATGTTTTCACTCGGACGAGGATCATGATAAAAACACTAAAGTTGAGTTTGGGCCAGCTCCGCTCCATCCCAACAGATCATGGCATTGACTTGTGCTATGATGTCGATAGCACGCTTCTTACCATCTTCGTACGCGAGTAATCTCTTGACGGCCGGAAACCCGCATCTGCTCCGGTCAACACGATCTCTCAATCCGCAAGTATAGAGTGAACTCCGATGCATCACCCGGTCTTTCCTGCACACCGCGAGAATCTACCCCGATGCCATTGCCCCATTCGTGGAGTCTGCGGGTATGGTCTCCATTTGGGTCATATCTGCGGT